GATGTGCTCAATTGGATTCAGGTCTGGGGAACGGGCGGGCCAGTCCATAGCATCAATGCCTTCCTCTTGCAGGAACTGCTGACACACTCCAGCCACATGAGGTCTAGCATTGTCTTGCATTAGGAGGAACCCAGGGCCAACCGCACCAGAATATGGTCTCAAAAGGGGTCTGAGGATCTCATCTCGGTACCTAATGGCAGTCAGGCTACCTCTGGCGAGCACATGGAGGGCTGTGCGGCCCCCCAAAGAAATGCCACCCCACACCATGACTGACCCACCGCCAAACCGGTCATGCTGGAGGATGTTGCAGGCAGCAGAACGTTCTCCACGGCGTCTCCAGACTCTGTCACATGTGCTCAGTGTGAACCTGCTTTCATCTGTGAAGAGCACAGGGCGCCAGTGGTGAATTTGCCAATCTTGGTGTTCTCTGGCAAATGGCAAACGTCCTGCACGGTGTTGGGCTGTAAGCACAACCCCGACCTGTGGACGTCGGGCCCTCATACCACCCTCATGGAGTCTGTTTCTGACCGTTTGAGCAGACACATGCACATTTGTGGCCTGCTGGAGGTCATTTTGCAGGGCTCTGGCAGTGCTCCTCCTGCTCCTCCTTGCACAAAGGCGGAGGTAGCAGTCCTGCTGCTGGGTTGTTGCCCTCCTACGGCCTCCTCCACGTCTCCTGATGTACTGCCTGTCTCGTGGTAGCGCCTCCATGCTCTGGACACTACGCTGACAGACACAGCAAACCTTCTTGCCACAGCTCGCATTGATGTGCCATCCTGGATGAGCTGCACTACCTGAGCCACTTGTGTGGGTTGTAGACTCCGTCTCATGCTACCACTAGAGTGAAAGCACCGCCTGCATTCAAAAGTGACCAAAACATCAGCCAGGAAGCATAGGAACTGAGAAGTGGTCTGTGGTCACCACCTGCAAAACCAGTCCTTTATTGGGGGTGTCTTGCTAATTGCCTATAATTTCCATCTGTTGTCTATTCCATTTGCACAACAGCATGTGACATTTATTGTCAATCAGTGTTGCTTCCTAAGTGGACAGTTTGATTTCACAGAAGTGTGATTGACTTGGAGTTACATTGTGTTGTTTAAGTGTTCCCTTTATTTTTTTGAGCAGTGTATATATATATTAGTGAGAGAAAAAAAACATATGGGGGAAGTGATGCAGACAATTACATTGATGGAAGTCATATTAAAGCTGATCTCCCCCTAAAAAAAAAAATAATAATAAAAAAAAAAAAGTAGTTTTTGAGCAAGTTGGGCTGTATAGAAAAATATTTTTGAGATTAATTAAATCCGTTTTTGGTTTATCCAGATTATTGCTAGCGAATCTAGTTGGCATTCTGTCATTACCACCAATTCTGCTCTCACCTAAATGTTTCTTATAACTGTATTGTGCATACATTTCATGAAAATACCAGAAGGTTCCCAATTTGTATAAAAAGGAATGGTTGGTTACATCATTCTGTCAACCCTCCTAAAACATACTATAATGATGGTGTGCAATAATCACTTTCTTAGAGTACTGTAAGCACTTCCTTTTTATTGGTCAACAGGGTTCTCTGAACCTGCCAAACTGTAACATCCAGGTGAGTTAGGAGAAAGCCGACTCCTCCCCCCGGAGGAAGGCTGTTGTCTATTTGCATTCTGCGTCTCAAATGGCACTCTATTCCCTTTATATTGCACTGCTCTGGTCAAAAGTAGTGCACTATATAGGGAATAGGTTGCCATTTGCTACACCCCTGCTGATTGGGTGAAGTGGCTCTGACAGGTCCTGGTGCTGTGCCACACAGGATTACTGTGACAGGCGGCTGTGGCAGGGACTTAGCTGCATTATTTCACTCCACTCGTTAAGGTTTATTTCAGGACTGCAGACTCCATGCGAAGCAGGTCAGACGACACATTGACAGGCTCTAGGCCGTTGTGTTGATGTCTGTCCGCCGTACTTACCTCACCTGGCACCAGAACACATTCCTGGGAGTAGAGACGAAACCCGTCCAAACCGAGTGTCATGAGAATTTCTATCTCTAATTCAACCTAAGCTTGAATCATTACCAGGGGTTGTAAGGCTCTGGTTTTAATCATAAATGATTCAAGGTCCACAACCAGCAAGAATGATCTGTATTTTTATTCATGGAGAGCTCTCCCGCCAAAACCCATACATACAGCTTTATACCCCTTGACACACAAAGGCACTTTGCTCCGCCCACCTTTAGGATGCTTTTTTTAACCCGTTTTCTCAGTCCCCTTCACCCTGGAATGTTTAGTCCCGCCCCCCTCTGTTAGTGGGTTGCCACTACATTATAACTCTTAACACCGTTCACACATTTATACTGTCTTTGGGGTGAAATCCTTTAGTCATTATTCTTAAAATACAAATTAATCTAACACCGAGCTAGCCAACAACTACCATGGAGTAGATTAACTGTATCTTACGTAAGGTTATGCATGTCAGAGTCTGCTACACAAAGATAGACAAAGTTAAAAAAGGCACAATTAGTGACATGTAGCAGTCGGACTACAAAAATCTAATATTAGGGTTTGAATGTACAAATACCTAAAATATATATGCACGCATGACTGTCAATCCGTCTGCTAAATGGCATATATTATTATTATATATTAGAACAAAAACACATTCAATACACCAAACATTATTATTAGGTTTAATCTAGTTCAGTTCGTCACCGGAAGTTGAGCCATTTACTCCAGAATATATAGGGAAGTAAGACTAAGTACCTTGACTTAAACCCTTTGCTCTTTGGGGAGCATTGGTCATTCACAAACTTCCTCCGTGGGGTTCAGTGTTGAGCGGTTTTCTCCACTTACTTTAAAAAAGGGATGATCCTGCTTCTTTCAGTTCTAAGTACCTACAGAGAATAGTTCCACCTCCACACTAAGTACCTACAGAGAATAGTTATTCACAGCAATATTGGTTGCTATACTGTGTGTAGTAATAGAGGCTACATCACCTGGGCTTTAGTCTTCAGACTTCAATGGAACCATATTCCCTACATAGTGCACTACTTTTGACCAGGGCTCTGTTCAAAAGTAGTGCATTGGGCCTCCCGAGTGTCACAGCGGTCTAAGGCACTGCATCTCAGCGCTTGAAGCGTCACTACACACCCGGGTTCGATCCCGGGCTGTATCACAACCGGCCGTGATCGGGAGTCCCATAGGGCCACACCCGTCGCTATGGGCGGGCCATAGGGGGCCGGGCCCGCCCCCAAAAATGCTTGTACCCCCCCCCCCCCCCAAAAAAAATGCTTGTGCCCCCCCCCCCCAAAAAAAATGCTTGTGCCCCCCCCCCCCCCACTTGAGGGAATTTATTATTAAATATACGTACTGTAGGCTAAAAATTATTGTGCCCTGCCCTCCCATGCATTTCATATGCCCCCCTTAAGACTGAGGTCTGGCGACGGGTCTGCATAGGGCTGCGCACAATTGACCCAGCGTCGTCCGGGTTAGGGGAGGGTTTGGCCGGGGGGGGGGGGCTTTACTTGGCTCATCACGCTCTAGCGACTCCTTGTGGCGGGCCGGGGGGCCTGCAGGCTGACTTCGGTCATCAGTTGAATGGTGTTTATCCAACATATTGGTGCGGCTGGCTTCCGGGTTAAGCAGGCGGGTGTTAAGAAGCGCGGTTTGGCGGGTCATGTTTCGGAGGACGCATGACTCGACCTTTACCCCCTGAGCCCATTGGGGAGGTGCAGCGATGAGACAAGATCGTCATTGGGGAGAAAAATGAGGGTAAAATACAACAACAACAACATAAATAAAGTTGTGCACTATATAGGGAATAGGGTGCCATTTGAGAAACAACCCTAAAACTCCTCAGGAACCAAAAGTGACCCAATAAATCTGCTTGGTCACAACTCTACATCAACCACCATAGCATGAAATGGCTTGGCTGAATCAGACCTGGGTTCAAATATGAAATAATTTCAAATACTTTATCCTGGCTTGATTGAGCTTGCCTTAGCATAACTGTATACCCCACCCATATGGCACTCCAGGCAGGCTAAAGTAAATGGTTAAAGTATTTTAAAGATTTGAAATAGTATTTTAACCCAAGTCTGGTAGGTATAGCTATTTTTTAAAGTCTCATCATTTACAGCTGTACAGTCCAGCTGCATGCTGAGAATCACACCATTTCCACGTAAGGTCAGTCGAGTCAGATTGAAGAGCGGCTGCATGGCAGAATACCTCGCTGTGTTTATTACATTGTCAGAGGAATACATCAGTGAGTTCTAGAAGTAAAGCTATTGGCTATAAAATCTGTTTTACATTAACATGACTTGAAACTTAAGTTTTGTCCACTTTAAGTTGATCACACATCGAAATGTACTCTCTGGTTTTACTACCTTTATAATAATAATAATAATAATAATAATATGCCATTTAGCAGCACCTTCAAATCCCTCAACATGAACATGGCATTAAGAGCACTGTGGTATTTGTATTAAAACTTAGGTCAATGAGTGTCCTTTGTCTAGTCAATCATGAGACATCATTCAACCTAAGAGCAGATGCTTCTCCCCAAAGTCTATTTGAATGGAGAGTCAGTCACCATATCGCTATTGACAAGCTACATTGGACCCATGGTTTCCCAAGCCATCTAAATAAACAATCACCATTTACTTCACAACCTTGTACAAATAGCATTCTTCCTATGTGAAACCTAGTGCAATGAGAGTGCATGATGATGATTATGTTTGGATATGGCCTGTACCATAGAATTAGAATGTGAGAATGGACCATTCTAATTCTATGGCCTGTACAGTAGTGTAACCATAGAATTAGAATGTGAGAATGGACCATTCTAATTCTATGGCCTGTACAGTAGTGTAACCATAGAATTAGAATATGAGAATGGACCATTCTAATTCTATGGCCTGTACAGTAGTGTAACCATAGAATTAGAATGTGAGAATGGACCATTCAAATTCTATGGCCTGTACAGTAGTGTAACCATAGAATTAGAATATGAGAATGGACCATTCTAATTCTATGGCCTGTACAGTAGTGTAACCATAGAATTAGAATAGAATGGGCATAGACGAAAACTTCCTTTATCTTCCTTTTAACTTCACAACGACCGGCTCAGTAAACTTCTGGCCAGTCAGGAACTGCCACACCCCTCCTCTGTAGAACTCATTCCCAAAGGAATAGAGCCACGCGTTGAAAATGGGGTTCATTTTCGCCAAAACAGGAAGCAACTAGGAAATGAATAAACATGTTTTCTTGTTAAATGATTTAAATAAAACAATCTCCATTCACATTTCATTGAACTAAAGCATTATCAATCACAGAGAGACAAGAGAAAAAAGACAAGAGAAATATAGGAAGAAGAAGCAAAAGAAGAAGAGGCAAAAGAAGAAGAAGAAGAGGCAAAGGAGGAAAAATAAGCAAAAGAAGAAGAACTGCTCACCATTCTCAGCTTTGGAGAGACCAGTTTGGCATTGTCAAAGCAGGCGTAGATACACATGATTTCGTAGGGTCCCCAGCAGAACAACAGAACCCTCAGTGGTACACTGGTGTTCCACTGGAAAACAAGGACGATAAATAAAGCTGTATTGAATGGGCCTTTTAAGGGTTAGTGCTATCTGGAATCCTTGGGATGTCCCTACCATAAACCCTAACCCTAACCCTAACCTTAACCCTTACTTTAATCCTGTTTAGACTTTTCCGACTTTTAAGTCACACAATAACATCAATAACATATCAGCATCACATAATGTATAAAACACCAGAACATAGCGACAGTTATACGTACACACATACAGAACATAGTGACTGTTATACACCCACACAGAACACAGTGACTTATGTACACCCATACAGAACACAGTGACTTATGTACACCCACACAGAACATAGTGACGTATGTACACCCACACAGAACATAGTGTCATGACTTGCCCTCATGGGTTGAGGATCAAAGATGCCGGCTAGGCAAAGGTTTGAACATCCCCTCTGCTGGGGGCCAGTTCTATGACCGGTCATAAATTCCTTGCAGAAACTCTCTTTTCCGTGCCATGCAGTACTGACAGAGGGAATTTCCCTGTGAAACAAAGGAAGTCTTCCCGCCAAGACTCCAACATCCAAAAGTGGATAATGAAACAATATTCATACTTCAAAGAATGTGGGAAATGGTCGGTGGCGACTTAAAGAACAACTATGTCAAATTCGTTACTATGTTGTGATGTCATTAAAGATGGTGGAACAACATAACTGTATCTCTGGGGGTGTACACCTCCCAGTTATGAGGTTTGCATCTAATTGTTGTATAAAACGAATGATTAAGTATAATAATACTTTTATAAAGATAAATGTGATTTTAGCATTCTAGATGAGATGATTGTTTCCATATTGATTTGTTCTCAGTCAGTGGCCACGCCCAGATGAGCACAAACATGATGAAACGCCCCCTTTTCTACTCAAGTATAAATCCCCTCGTGACTAAATTCACCTCAGACCAGTGAAGTGTGAGCTAAACGTTACAAAATGGTTTAAAACTACAACTCCATTATCAAAGGAAGACCAAGCAGATTACGGTATAAGCCGGATGTTGCAAATGGTTGAATTTCTACCAGACCAGGAAGCGTGAAGCTGAAGCTACACGTTACAAAATGATTAGACCAGAAAGACCAGAAAACGTGAGACGTTAGTCCACACATTTGAAATGGAGAAACTCTGAAACTCTCAACCTCTACACGAGGTGAAGTAGAAGACAATGCACTAGACCTTATCATCTCAGTCTGCAGCTGGCATGTATAGTCGTCTAGAGAACTTTCACTAAAAGACACAAGTTGGGAAGGACAATCCCTCTCAGACAACCGTTGGTACATCTGAAGTATCTTTTCTAACAGATCAACTCTACGAACTACGGGGTACGCTGAAGTATCCATTCTAACCACCACTACGACCAGAAACTCTACCAAGGACATTGGGATCTCTGGTGGGCAAACCAGTCCTACATCATCAACTCAACGATCGAGGACAGCTACACGTAAATACATGTTGCATTTCTAATCCGAATGAGCGGGTGCTAAGCATTTGCATTTCCGTGAGCGTAGTTAAGAAATGTCCGATAGGTGAATTCCTTTGTCTCTTCCTTTGCCCCCCCCCCCCCCCTCTCTCTGAATCCACCAATCTTCCTTCTACCCAAGCATTCATGCTATTGTTAGTCCAGTCCACTAGGGTCATAGTTAGGTGATTCGATAAATAACAGTCATACATTAAAGTAAGTCACGTCACGACAATAGTGACGTATGTACACCCACACAGAACATAGTGACTGTTATGTACACCCACACAGAACATAGTGACTGTTATGTACACCCACACAGAACATAGTGACTGTTATGTACACCCACACAGAACATAGTGACTGTTATGTACACCCACACAGAACATAGTGACTGTTATGTACACCCACACAGAACACAGTGACTGTTATGTACACCCACACAGAACATAGTGACTGTTATGTACACCCACACAGAACATAGTGACTGTTATGTACACCCACACAGAACACAGTGACTGTTATGTACACCCACACAGAACATAGTGACTGTTATGTACACCCACACAGAACACAGTGACTGTTATGTACACCCATTTAACTCATTTTTGGTTAAGTTGTACACTTACTTACAGCAACCCTTGTTTACAGGATTATTTTGCTTAAAGTTGTTGTAATCTGAATTTTTTATGGTACAAATTACGCATTGTTCATTTACTAGGATTTAAGACTATTACATCAATTTGTAATATATTGAGAAGTATGTTTTTCTGGCCAAAGATGAATGGTATTGATAAAATGCGTTGTAATGTTCCAAAGAACATGTTCCAAATGTTCTAACGGTAGAATGTTAAAAGGTTTACCCTGTGCTTGTGGATCTTCTTGAAGTATGCGTGAATGGCGTCGTAGTTGGACTTCATGACATAAGCAGGGAAGATAAGGTAGAAGACAGTCAGTGCCCCCATATAGGTCATGTAGTCCCTGTTGGATGGAGATGCACATAGACAATAGAATGACATAAGACATATACTGTTTATACTGGGCACCTCTATGCATGGGGCATCCACACTCATCTAGGGTTGCTAAATTCTGGTAATTTTCAAAAAAACATACCAGGTTTTCAAGAAATCCGAGAGGATTCCGCATTTCCTGCTTATTCTCTCCTGATTCCGGGAACCCTCCAACTGGGATTTCTGGAAAACCTGGGAATTTTGCAACCCTAGTCTGTGGGAGACATTGCTATAGAGCTTTGTTTTTATTGTCTGAAATGAATAATCCCAATCCATTAGAGATTTTTGGCAGTGCTCGCTCTGTGTGTGAAATGCTGGATGTTTTCAACTGGGGTAAAAGAGCCTACTTTTGTGGTAATCTACTGTATTCCATTGTTGACATATTACTAAGCCAAACAGTGATGTCAACAGCTGGTCTGGAATTCCCTGCACCATAGATGAGAGAGAACATGATGGTGTGTGTGCATGTTTAATTTCTGACTGTATGTCGCTCTGGATAAGAATGTCTGCTAAATGACCTACATTTTTATTTAAATATAGCCTACTTGTCTCCTTTGGTGTAGTCTAGAGTGCAGCAGGTCCTCATGGGCTCAAAGTCATAAACTCCCCAACCAGCCAGAGGGACGGCCGCCCAGAAGATGGCCATCCCCCAGATAACGATAGAAAAAGTCCAGGCCGTGCTCCAAAACAGCTTCTGATCTGGAACATAATAAAGCCATGTTTATTGGAATTTGCAAGAATATGTTTGTAGCGTTGTAGATGTATATAGTGCATAAATAAATACATAAACACATTGTTAATAAATCAATAATGCTATAGTAAATGCCATGAATACATACTGTACAGTAGGATACTACTCACTGGTGACATATTGGTGATATCTGTCCCAGGCGATGGTAGCCAGGAAGCTGATAGAGGCCAGGACTGCTGTCATCCCCATGAAGGCATGGTTGCTACATCCATCTTGGCCCCAGGGCCAGTGTCTAGGGTGGCAAGAGAGGAGCACATTTAGGCTGTGTTTACACAGGCAGCCCAATTCTGATATTTTGCCTGATTATTTGCAAAATATATCTGATCTGATTGGTCAAAAGACCAATTATTGGCAAAAGATCAGAATTGGGCTGTCTGTGTAAACACAGCCGTGGAGTTTCTATTCCCATCAGGTATAAACATGGTGACTCATATTGCTGCAAATTGTTATACCAAATACACCTGCTTTGGGTTGTGGTTCTATTCAGTTAAACTATGAAATCAGGATCACAAGAAATTAACCATTGTTCAACATGACAGTTATGGGTGATTTTCACAACATTGAATCCATAGAAGGTTCCTTTAGAGGTTGGATTGTTGACATATATATTGACATTTGTATCTTAACGCACAATTGAGAAATAATTAACTGAATTTTGAATATTTGTGAAATCTGGGCTTTACCCAGGCCTCCTTTTAAGACTCAATATTGTTTCATCTGTAGATGCTGTAAAGCAAAAATTGGTGTCATATGAAGCTTTCCCGCTCATTCTGTCATATGAGTAGTATTTACATTAATTTAAATCAATATTGAAAAATCAAAACATGAATATTGAAAATATACAACAATCTTTGCCCAATTTTTTAAATATTTTTTTTTGCATAATATACTCTACAGGCATATCAATGTCCCAGAGTGGAAACCCTGATACTTTTAGAGTTAGGATCCAATTCTTAAGCGTTACCAACAGAGTGAATGTGAAAATGGATTCAAAATGGTCGCCCTCTACTGGTGATTTGCAGGATGTGAAATTATCCAAATAAAAGGAGGGCTGTGATTGGTCACATTGCCTACTCTACCATTATATCTCTGTTTAAAATGGGTCATAACTTTAAAACTAGCAGAGATCCCTCTCGAATTGTTATATGCCCGTAGAATATATGGTGTTCAATAATATGCTGAACAATTTGCCAAAACAACATTTTTATATTTTCTATATTCATGTTTATATTTTTCTATAATTATAAAATATGTTAGAACATTTTTTATTGAAATCAAAATACTAATATTACAGAGCAAGCGGTAAAGCTTCATATGAAACCAATTTTTTGGTGTCTTAAAGGAGGCCTGGGTAAGGCCAAAATGTTAAAAAAAAGTCAAACTTCAATCAATTATTTCTCAATTATGCTTTAAGATACAAATGTCAAATACCCTTCCTCCAAAGGACCCTTATATGGATTATATTTCATGAAAATCCAAAAATAATGAGTCATTTTACCGTTACCTGAAAAATGTGTCATTTCTTTCCTAGTTTCGTGAGGAATCACCTTTATGTGTAATATATTATGTCCATGATATATATATATATATATATATATATATATATATATATATATATATATATCCATTATAGCTATTCAGATATATATGAAACATGTGCCTCCCTAGAATGCCTCTTTAGAATGATTTGCGCTGACATCCTGTCTGTAAACCACTTTTAGATCAATGCATAAGCGCATGTTTTGTAACAACTATTGTACACATAAATTAGGCAACCTCTACAGGCATTAATGCAGTGTCAGAGGATAAGAATTCATACCTATAAGTTAAGCTGGCGTATGCAGCGATCAGGCCGGTTATATTGAGCATAATGTCAGCCACAGCAAGGTTAAGCACAAGAAAATTACTGGGAGTTCGCATTTGCTTTACGCTAATATAGGCCAATATTGAAATGGCGTTGAGGAAGAATCCAAGAAGACCTAAAACACACACATGAAAAAAAGAAATCATAATGGGAAACAACATGTGATAGATTCCATGCCATAAACAGACTAAATGGAGGTTTAGCGTTTCAGTTAAGTTACATAGCCTATACGTTTTACGCCTATATCGGAAATTGTTGAATTTTAAGCGCACATACTTTTATTTCACTTTCACATTTCAACCTTACAAAACATAATCTTCCAAATCTTTATATAATTCACATCTCCCATTGACAACTATGAATGATTTGAAGTTGCCAAGTTGCTGTCATTACTTGAAGAATCTTCAAAGTATTTCTCGGGCCAAATCTTTTTTTTTTTTTGTCCGACTTTAACATCATTAGGCCTATCCATTTAAGAACACTTTAAAAGCCCACACTGCTCCATCCTCTGGCAGACGTTTCCCTAATGCAAATACATCTTTCGTTTCAACATGTTTGGCATAAAATATTTCACTTACCCCCAACAAGAAGCGCTGAACCGAATGCAAACATGTCAAAATCGGAGAAACCCTCCGGTAATGTGTATGCTGCCATTTTTTAGTGCCCACTATAATTGTCGGACACTACAACTAATTCTTCTACGTTTATTCTTGCTCCTAAAAGTGAAAGAGGTTTCTAAGACTGAACTCCTTTTAAAGGCTCTTTCACGTGAAAAGGCATGCAAGGACTTATCTCAAGTAAAACCCTCACCAATCCCTACAAGAATGTTCTAATAAGTGGGAAAATAGCAATAGAGTGTGCTGCACATTGGATAAGTGCTAATTTTCTTCTTTTTCCGATTTTTTTTTTCTTCCCCAATCTTTGTGTTCATTGAAGTGGTTTCTGCGCACCCAGTGCGCATGCGCAGCTCACTGATCTATATTACAACTGATAAGGGTACCGTCTATCTCACTTTATAGGCTACTGACCAGTGGTGAAAGCGTTTATATTATCACTGAACTCTAAACCCACAGGTCATCCTTTATCCTTAGGAGGCTAAACATTATATGGCACATGACAATAAAGGATCTCTCTCTTATTCTGATAGGTAAACCTACAGATGCCAATGATGTGTTTTATCCTGGAGCTCCCTGTATCACATTATGGTGTTGACTGTGGTTTATCATGGGCTGGAGCTTCCTGTATCACATTATGGTGTTGACTGTGGTTTATCATGGGCTGGAGCTCCCTGTATCACATTATGGTGTTGACTGTGATTGCTGCGTCTGTTCTGATTCTATGTGTTCATGTTTGTGTTGTGTAAAATAATAAAGAAGCCAGTTTAATGTATACATGTCACCGGAAACAGGTCAAGCCTCCTGTAGTTATACACTATATAATATATTGATTGTCTACTTCAGTGTTAATGCCAAGTACAGTACATCTAGATGGAGAAAATGGAAAGTGGCAACTGATATCTCTGTAATTTTACGATTTACAATTCAACATCGATATCTATCGGTCAAAGCTTTAGATGGCATTATGACTAGGCTCTTTGAGTTGGTATGTGATACATTAGCTCAGTTTCATCCTTCATCCATAGATCCCAAAGCCTTGGATAGCCTAGAGATGGTCCCAAGGGGTCTTTTCATAATGTAACAACAGTCAAGACTTAAACAATAGAGCTTGCTTGGCATCACTCAGATAGTCCCAAATGGCACCCTATTCCTTATGTAGTGCACTACTCTTGACCAGGGACCAGGACCAGTAGTGCACTACATAGGGAATAGGGTGCCATGTGAATCACAGATAAACTGGAGGAGTAGTATTGCATTCTAATCAAAGACCCCACCTTTTACGGCATTGGAAAACAGCACCCACAGGTTCCTACATGGATTTGAATAATTTCTACCGCTGGTGTAGTGGGCCATCCGTCATAATCTGGTGATGTAGCAATAAAACAAAGGTTGCACTGTTGATGCAAGTCTAGCTGCCTGAGTTCGGACTTTAGACACTGAATAACACACAACTGTTTAACTTTTCAAAGCTCAACTCATTCCCCCGATCTGTCACCCTAGACTGCAGTTTATTACTGCTAAGGCAGAAGGCAGCCCTCTTTATAAAGCTCAACTCATTCCCCCGATCTGTCACCCTAGACTGCAGTTTATTACTGCTAAGGCAGAAGGCAGCCCTCTTTATAAAGCTCAACTCATCCCCCGATCTGTCACCCTAGACTGCAGTTTATTACTGCTAAGGCAGAAGGCAGCCCTCTTTATAAAGCTCAACTCATCCCCCGATCTGTCACCCTAGACTGCAGTTTATTACTGCTAAGGCAGAAGGCAGCCCTCTTTATAAAGCTCAACTCATTCCCCCGATCTGTCACCCTAGACTGCAGTTTATTACTGCTAAGGCAGAAGGCAGCCCTCTTTATAAAGCTCAACTCATTCCCCGATCTGTCACCCTAGACTGCAGTTTATTACTGCTAAGGCAGAAGGCAGCCCTCTTTATAAAGCTCAACTCATTCCCTGATCTGTCACCCTAGACTGCAGTTTATTACTGCTAAGGCAGAAGGCAGCCCTCTTTATAAACGCTGTTTCACATTACTTAGCACACACGCACACACACACACACACACACACACACACACACACACACACACACACACACACACACACACACACACACACACACACACACACACACACACACACACACACACACACACACACACACACACACACACACACACACACACACACACACACACACACACACACCTTAGAGGCCAGATTAATACATGTAAGTGGAGGAGGTTTATTTCATGTGCTAGGGAAAACCCCTCCAGAATGAAAGTGATGTATTAATAAGGGCCATAGATAAATGACAGGATTAAAGAGGCATAGTTGGATGGTGACCCGGGATTTGCCTCCTGGTCGCAAATTGCTTGAAATCTTTAAAGCTTTTGTCTGCGCCTGGCAAATTTATGAGCCCGTCACAAATGCACCCTATCCCCTATATGGTGCACTACTACCCTATGGGTCCTGGTCAAAAGTAGTGTACTACATAGGGGGATAGGGTTCCTTTTGGGATGCACAACCTTCCCAAGTTCTCTCACGTCACCCCCCTCCTCCGCACACTCCACTGGCTTCCAATTGAAGCTCGCATCCGCTACAAGACCATGGTGCTTGCCTTTGGAGCAGTGAGGGGAACGGCACCCCTGTACCTTCAGGCTCTGATCAGTCCCTACACCCAAACGAGGACATTGCGTTCATCCACCTCTGGCCTGCTGGCTCCCCTTCCTCTGCGGAAGCACAGCTCCCGCTCAGCCCAGTCAAAACTGTTCGCTGCTCTGGCACCCCAATGGTGGAACAAGCTCCCTCACGACGCCAGGACAGCGGAGTCACTCACCACCTTCCGGAGACATTTGAAACCCCACCTCTTTAAGGAATACCTGGGATAGGCTAAAGTATTCCTTCTAACCCCCCCCCCCCCCAAATTGTAAAGTGGTTATCCCACTGGCTATAGGGTGAACGCACCAATTTGTGAGTCGCTCTGGCTAAGAGCGTCTGCTAAATGACGTTAATGTGCCCTTGAGCAAGGCACTTAACCCTAATTGCTCCTGTAAGTCGCTCTGGTTAAGAGCGTCTGCTAAATGACTAAAATGTAAATGTAAATCAGTGTCTGAATAGAGACAGGAGACAGACAGTGTACTCACACTGAAACCACTCTCACAGATAGAAAGTGCGTCATGAGGAGGGGTCAGTAGTTTTGGCTGGAAACATTAAGTGGATGAAGAAGCATAGTCATAGAATATTGAAACCGTCAGAACCCCTTGTGTAGAACCCTGACTCTGACTCTAGAACCATGACTCTGACTCTAGAACCATGACTCAACATAATAAAACAGGTTAAGAAAGTTCACAAATCAAATTGATTGTTTTCTTTTACTCTTAGCTGCCATCTAGTGGTGCGTTCCATGTTACGTAGGGTCCCACTGGGGCCTTGTACACTATAGACCACTGGGGCCTTGTACACTATAGACCACTGGGGCCTTGAACACTATAGACCACTGGGTCCTTGAACACTATAGACCACTGGGACCTTGTACACTGTCCACCACTGGGGCCTTGAACACTATAGACCACTGGGGCCTTGTACACTGTACACCACTGGGGCCTTGAACACTATAGACCACTGGGGCCTTGAACACTATAGACCACTGGGGGCCTTGAACACTATAGACCACTGGGGCCTTGTACACTATAGACCACTGGGGCCTTGAACACTATAGACCACTGGGGCCTTGTACACTGTCCACCACTGGGGCCTTGAACACTATAGACCACTGGGGCCTTGAACACTATAGACCACTGGGGCCTTGTACACTATAGACCACTGGGTCCTTGTACACTGTACACCACTGGGGCCTTGAACACTATAGACCACTGGGGCCTTGTACACTATATACCACTGGGGCCTTGAACACTATAGACCACTGGGGCCTTGAACACTATATACCACTGGGGCCTTGTACACTATAGACCACTGGGGCCTTGAACACTATAGACCACTGGGGCCTTGAACACTATATACCACTGGGGCCTTGAACACTATAGACCACTGGGGCCTTGAACACTATAGACCACTGGGGCCTTGTACACTGTCCACCACTGGGGCCTTGAACACTATAGACCACTGGGGCCTTGAACACTATAGACCACTGGGGCCTTGAACACTATAGACCACTGGGGCCTTGTACACTATACACCACTGGGGCATTGAACACTATAGACCACTGGGGCCTTGAACACTGTACACCACTGTTCATTGGGGGAAAGGAGGCCACTGGTATGTGTTTTGATAATACTGGTGGATATCCCCTATTTGACCTAGATAGTTTGTGTGTATGTATTGATATGTAGACTACGTGTGCCTTTAAAAAAAAATTATGTAGTTCTGTCCTTGAGCTGTTCTTGTCTATTAATGTTCTGTATTATATAATGTTTCATGTTTTGTGGGGACCCCAGGAAGAGTAGCTGCTGCTTTTGCAACAGCTAATGGGGATCCTAATAAAATACCAAATCAGTGTGACTTTGTTACAGAAGCTTACATGTTAATAGATATTTCGCCTGAAAATAATGCACCCATTTTCATACATTTAAGAGATAATGGGCTCTATGTCAAAAACATGGTATGCAACCTTTTTATGATACACTACGGTAATAATTCTGTATTGATCCCTTAGAATCCCTAATGCCGATTTTCTTTTTGACCTGACTGCGTTTGAGTTGTGCTGATAATGTGCTTTTCCAACATTTTATTAATTTATTGCAGCACAACCCGTAAATTAAACACATGTAGGCTATACTATATATACACTACCGGTAAAAAGTTTTACAACACCTACTCATTCAATGGTTTTCCTTTATTTTTACTATTTCCTACATTGTAGAATAATAGTGAAGACATTAAAACTATGAAATAACACATATGGAATCAAGTAGTAACCAAAGAAAGTGTTCAATAAATCAAAATATATTTTAGATTTTAGATTCTTCAAATAGCCACCCTTTGCCTTGATGACAGCTTTGCACAATCTTGCAATTCTCTCAACCAGCTTCACCTGGAATGCTTTTCCAACAGTCTTGAAGGAGTTCCCACATATGCTGAGCACTTGTTTGCTGCTTTTCCTTCACTCTGCCGTCCGACTCATCCCAAACCATCTCAATTTGGTTGAGGGCGAGGGATTGCGGAAGCCAGGTCATCTGACACACCATCACTCTCCTTCTTGGTAAAATAGCCCTTACACAGCCTGGAGGTGTGTTGGGTCATTGTCCTGTTGAAAAACAAATGATAGTCCCACTAAGCCCAAACCAGATGGGATGGCGTATCGCTGCAGAATGCTGTGGTAGCCATGCTGGTTAAGTGTGACTTGAATTCGAAACAAATAACAGACAGTGTCACCAGCAAAGCACCCCCACACCATAACACCTCCTCCTCCGTGCCTTACGGTGGGAAATACACATGCAGAGATAATCCGTCCACCCACATCGCGTCTCACAAAGACACAAATGTCCAATTTGGACTCCAGACCAAAGGACGGTCTAATGTCCATTGCTCCTGTTTTTTGGCCCAAGCAAGTCTCTTCTTATTATTGGTGTCCTTTAGTAGTGGTTCCTTTTCAGCAATTCGACCATGAAGGCCTGATTCACACAGTCTCCTCTAAACAGTTGATGTTGAGATGTGTCTGTTACTTGAACTCTGTGAAGCATTTATTTGGGCTGCAATTTCTGAGGCTGGTAACTCTAATGAACGTATCCTCTGCAGCAGAGGTAACTCTGGGTCTTCCATTCCCTTGGCGGTCCTCATGAGAGAGTTTCATCATAGCGCTTGATGGTTTTTGTGACTGCACTTGAAGAAACTTTCAAAGTTCTTGAAATGTTCCGTATTGACTGACCTTCATGCCTTAAAGTAATGATGGACTGTTGTTTCTCTTTGCTTATTTGAGTTGTTCTTGCCATAATATGGACTTGGTCTTTTACCAAATGGGGCTATCTTCTGTGTACCCCCCATACATTTTAACATTTACATTTTAGTCATTTAGCAGACGCTCTTATCCAGAGCGACTTACAGTTAGTGAGTGCATACATTTTCATACTGGACCCCCGTGGGAAACGAACCCACGACCCTGGCGTTGCAAGGGCCATGCTCTACCAACTGAGCTACAGGGGACTACCTGTACCTTGTCACAACACAACTGATTGGCTCAAACGCATTAAAAAGGAAAGAAATTCCACAAATTAACTTTTAAGAAGGCACACCTGTTAATTGAAATGCATTCCAGGTGACTACCTCATGAAGCTGGTTGAGAGAATGCCAAGAGTGTGCAAATATGTCATCAAGGCAAAGGGTGGCTATTTTGAAGAATCTCAAATATAAAATATATTTTGATTTGTTTAACACTTTTTTTGGTTACTACATTATGTGTTATTTCGTAGTTTTGATGTCTTCCCTATTTTTATACAATGTAGAAAATAGTAAAAATAAAGAAAAACCCTTGAATGAGTAGGTGTTCTAAAACTTTTTTGTAACAAATGTCAACAGTTTCCTTTTGCATTGTAGTTAACTTACATTGTCTCATTCAAGAAAATAAATAAAGTGCGTCTATGAAAGTAAATGAATCGCCAAAACTAATGGTCCACTCCCATCTCTGTAATAAACCCCAACTATAGGGAAGTGTTTTACTCTGCATAATATAAACAAAGCGAAACTACACAGCCCGTGTATCAACTGCCAGGAGGAAATAATCGTGTAAATGAAAATAACCCAAGTCCTTTCCACTAATCCCTGTCCATCCTTTTTTTATCTCAGGCTTCGGAACGACGTTAAAACCAATATGCGGCACGGAGATAGCAGGACCCACACATGATGCATAGCAGGCTCGGAATAACAAATAAACAGTACTTTTGTTATTTGTCAAATTATCTTGTAGTTTAGTTTGATAGTATATTTGATAGTGAAGTTTCGGAGAGAAAATGTTTCAAGGTTTTAGTCTGGGTTTCTGTTTGGCATTACTTTTCCTCGGACGGTTTGTTTGCAACGCGTGTCTGTCTCAATGTAGCTGCTTCTTTCACAAACTCTCGGACGGATCCAACGCAAGGTAAGACCATTGCAATTATTACAACTGATTAAAATGTTAATGTAAACAACTTCTATTCTACATATTTTTTCTGTTGTGTGGTACCTGGGCGTAGTATGCAGGTAAGGTCTGCACTTCTTTTTTTTTATATATATAGGCTTGAGGATTAACTTGCTCTGCTCTAATCCCCTTTCCTTGGTCCTGATGTATACACCACGTTTAGACCAAGGGAGAAAAAAAGAATGGAAAAAACTAACGGTTAAAAACCGAGCAAATAAAAATATTTAGGGTGATTTTTTTTTTTATGCATGAATTGTCAACCTATCATATGTCATGAACACGTACAAGGCCATGGTTAATTGAATCAACCTTGTAATAACGTTTAATTATTTAAATAAACATGTTACAACAGGTTATACAGTGACATTCACTAACATGTGTTTACCTTTCTCTCTATCTATCTAGGAGTGTCCTTTGTAATGACCCAGAGATCACGCTGGTCCCACCCAACTTTCCCGCAGACACCTTGAAACTGCGGATCGAGAAGACTGCCATCACAAGGATTTCCAGCGAAACCTTTCACTACCTCAACAGTCTGGAATTTCTCTGGATGTCTTTCAATTCTCTGAACTCTTTAAATGTGGACAGCTTCCGTGGCCTGAGAAGTCTGGATGAGCTGAGACTGGAAGGGAACGCTCTCACCTCTTTCCCCTGGGAATCTCTGACTGATATGCCCAACCTCAGGCTACTGGACCTGCATAATAATAAGATATCGTCGATCCCGGCCGAGGCCACCAGCTATATCAAGAACCTGACCTACCTGGACGTATCTAGCAACAGCCTGGCCACTGTACCTCCTGAGGTTCTCTCTACGTGGTTATCTGTGAAACCATCTCAAGGAGATGGGGAAAGTTCCAAATATATTCTAGGTAAGGATCTAAACAGCTAATTAAGCAATTAATTACTCAATCAATTCCAATTAAAGCAATCTTTATTTACCTAGAGGGAATCCCATTTGGTTTGCTTGAACCACCCAGTTTATAAATAGCATTAACTGGAAAGTTGGAGGCTTCAGCATCAGCATTTGGGAGTAGTAAAAGGATTAGTCTAATTGTAGTGAAGCCATACTGTAGTGTTAATGTGACTACATTCACTAGTATCACTTCAAACTAACATGATTACTTCTACTTCCAATGAATTCTTGCTAAACTGCCTTTGTATACACACAACACATGGTGCTAGTTCAGACAGAGCGAGAACATTTGTCCAAAATATGCATGTTTGTCTTATCTATTGCTATGCTAAAAGTGATGTTGTTTTATTTTACCTTTGTTTAGCTACCATTGCTGTTACTTTATCTACCTAAGTCGCTCTGGATAAGAGCACCTGCTAACGAACAAAAATGTTTATGGGGCGGCAGGTAGCTTAGTGGTTAAGAGCGTTGTGCCAGTAACCGAAAGATCGCTGGCTCTAATCCCCGAGCCGACTAGGTGAAATATCTGTCGATGTGCCCTTGAGCAAGGCACTTAACCCTAATTGCTCTGGATAAGAGCGTCTGCTAAATGACTAAAATGTAAATGTATATCCTGGTGAAATGTTTATTTTATTCATCGCTGTAGGTCTCCATGACAACCCGTGGCTGTGCGACTGCCGGCTCTATGACGTGGTCCAGTTCCAGAAGTCTCCATCGTCCTCCGTGGCTCTGATCGACACCAGGCTGCGCTGCGCTGACCCAGAGAGCCTGTCGGGGGTGCTGTTCAGCGAGACGGAGCTCCAGAGGTGCCAGGAGCCCCGGGTCCACACGGCTGTGGCCCGGGTCAGGAGCTCCCTGGGGAACAACGTCCTGCTGCGCTGTGGGACCATCGGAGTCCCCATCCCAGAGCTGTCCTGGACCCGGGCAGACGGCAAACAGATGAACGGCACTGGTGAGTTTAATTGATTTATGAATGTATTTATTTTATTTATTTGATGTGTAACAAATAGATATACAGCCAAGAACAAGCAGTGGCTACTGTACACACAGTACCAGTCAGTATTTTTACTATTTCCTACGTTGTAGAATAATAGTGAAGACATCCAAACTATGAAATAACACATATGGAATCATGTAGTAACCAAAAAAGTGTTAAACAAATCAAAATATATTTTATATTTGAGATTCAACAAATAGCCACCCTTTGCCTTTGTCACGACTTCCTCCGAAGCGGCCTCCTCTCCTTGTTCGAAAAGGCTTCGGCGATCGTCGTCACTGGCCTTCTAGCCACTGCCGCTCCTCTTTTCATCACACACCTGGTTCATATCCCCTCATCAGACTCTGTACTAGTATTCCCTCTGCTCCCCATGTCATTGTGTGTGATTGTTTCCATGTGGAGGTGTCATTAGCTCGGTAGAGCATTATGTACTTTATCGCCGGGATATTCACCTGTGTGTTTTGTTTTCCCCAGTTTATTTTATTTAATTTATTTATTTCACCTTTATTTAACCAGGTAAGCCAGTTGAGAACAAGTTCTCATTTACAACTGCGACCTGGCCAAGATAAAGCAAAGCAGTGCGATAAAAACAACAACACAGAGTTACATATGGGGTAAAAAAACATAAAGTCCAAAAAAAAAAATACTACAGAAAATATATATACAGTGTGTGCAAATGTAGCAAGTTATGGAGGTAAGGCAATAAATAGGCTATAGTGCAAAATAATTACAATTAGTATTAACACTGGAATGCTAGATGTGCAAGAGATTATGTGCAAATAGAGATACTGGGGTGCAAAAGAGCAAAATAAATAACAATATAGGGATGAGGTAGTTGGGTGGGCTAATTTCAGATGGGCTGTGTACAGGTGCAGTGATCGGTAAGGTGCTCTGACAACTGATGCTTAAAGTTAGTGAGGGAGATAAGAGTCTCCAGCTTCAGAGATTTTTGCAATTCGTTCCAGTCATTGGCAGCAGAGAACTGGAAGGAATGGCGGCCAAAGGAGGTGTTGGCTTTGGGGATGACCAGTGAGATATACAGTGGGGAAAAAAAGTATTTAGTCAGCCACCAATTGTGCAAGTTCTCCCACTTAAAAAGATGAGAGAGGCCTGTAATTTTCATCATAGGTACACGTCAACTATGACAGACAAAATGAGAAAAAAAAATCCAGAAAATCACATTGTAGGATTTTTAATGAATTTATTTGCAAATTATGGTGGAAAATAAGTATTTGGTCAATAACAAAAGTTTCTCAATACTTTTTTATATACCCTTTGTTGGCAATGACACAGGTCAAACGTTTTCTGTAAGTCTTCACAAGGTTTTCACACACTGTTGCTGGTATTTTGGCCCATTCCTCCATGCAGATCTCCTCTAGAGCAGTGATGTTTTGGGGCTGTCGCTGGGCAACACAGACTTTCAACTCCCTCCAAAGATTTTCTATGGGGTTGAGATCAGGAGACTGGCTAGGCCACTCCAGGACCTTGAAATGCTTCTTACGAAGCCACTCCTTCATTGCCCGGGCGGTGTGTTTGGGATCATTGTCATGCTGAAAGACCCAGCCACGTTTCATCTTCAATGCCCTTGCTGATGGAAGGAGGTTTTCACTCAAAATCTCACGATACATGGCCCTATTCATTCGTTCCTTTACACGGATCAGTCGTCCTGGTCCCTTTGCAGAAAAACAGCCCCAAAGCATGATGTTTCCACCCCCATACTTCACAGTAGGTATGGTGTTCTTTGGATGCAACTCAGCATTCTTTGTCCTCCAAACACGACGAGTTGAGTTTTTACCAAAAAGTTCTATTTTGGTTTCATCTGACCATATGACATTCTCCCAATCCTCTTCTGGATCATCCAAATGCACTCTAGCAAACTTCAGACAGGCCTGGACATTTACTGGCTTAAGCAGGCGGACACGTCTTGCACTGCAGGATTTGAGTCCCTGGCGGCGTAGTGTGTCACTGATGGTAGGCTTTGTTACTTTGGTCCCAGCTCTCTGCAGGTCATTCACTAGGTCCCCCCGTGTGGTTCTGGGATTTTTGCTCACCGTTCTTGTGATCATTTTGACCCTACGGGGTGAGATCTTGCGTGGAGCCCCAGATCGAGGGAGATTATCAGTGGTCTTGTATGTCTTCCATTTCCTAATAATTGCTCCCACAGTTGATTTCTTCAAACCAAGCTGCTTACCTATTGCAGATTCAGTCTTCCCAGCCTGGTGCAGGTCTACAATTTTGTTTCTGGTGTCCTTTGTCAGCTCTTTGGTCTTGGCCATAGTGGAGTTTGGAGTGTGACTGTTTGAGGTTGTGGACAGGTGTCTTTTATACTGATAACAAGTTCAAACAGATGCCATTAATACAGGTAACGAGTGGAGGACAGAGGAGCCTCTTAAAGAAGAAGTTACAGGTCTGTGAGAGCCAGAAATCTTGCTTCTTTGTAGGTGACCAAATACTTATTTTCCACCTTAATTTGCAAATAAATTCATAAAAAATCCTACAATGTGATTTTCTGGATGTTTTTTTCTCAATTTGTCTTTCATAGTTGACGTGTACCTATGATGAAAATTTCAGGCCTCTCTCATCTTTTTAAGTGGGAGAACTTGCACAAATAGTGGCTGACTAAATACTTTTTTGCCCCACTGTACCTGCTGGAGCGCAGACTACGGGTGGGTGCTGCTATGGTGACCAATGAGCTAAGATAAGGCGGGGATTTGCCTAGCAGTGATTTATAGATGGCCTGGAGCCAGTGGGTTTGACGACGAACATGTAGTGAGGACCAGCCAACAAGAGCGTACAGGTCACAGTGGTGGGTAGTGTATGGGGCTTTGGAGACAAAACGGATGGCACTGTGATAGACTACATCCAATTTGCTGAGTAGAGTGTTGGAGGCTATTTTGTAAATGACATCGCCGAAGTCAAGGATCGGTAGGATAGTCAGTTTTACGAGGGCATGTTTGGCAGCATGAGTGAAGGAGGCTTTGTTGCGAAATAGGAAGCCGATTCTAGATTTAACTTTGGATTGGAGATTCTAAATGTGAGTCTGGAAGGAGAGTTTACAGTCTAACCAGACACCTAGGTATTTGTAGTTGTCCACATACTCTAGGTCAGACCCGTCGAGAGTAGTGATTCTAGTCGGGTGGGCGGGTGCCAGCAGCGTTCGATTGAAGAGCATGCATTTAGTTTTACTAGTGTTTAAGAGCAGTTGGAGGCTACTGAAGGAGTGTTCTATGGCATTGAAGCTCGTTTGGAGGTTTGTTAATACAGTGTCCAATGAAGGGCCAGATGTATACAAAATGGTGTCGTCTGCGTAGAGGTGGATCTGAGAGTCACCAGCAGCGAGAGCGACATCATTGATATACACTGAGAAAAGAGTCGGCCCAAGAATTGAACCCTGTGGCACCCCCATAGAGACTGCCATAGGTCCAGACAACAGGCCCTCCGATTTGACACATTGAACTCTATCTGAGAAGTAGTTGGTGAACCAGGCGAGGCAGTCATTTGAGAAACCAAGGCTATTTAGTCTGCCAATAAGAATGCGGTGGTTGACAGAGTCGAAAGCCTTGGCCAGGTCGATGAAGACGGCTGCACAGTACTGTCTATTATCGATCGCGGTTATAATATCGTTTAGGACCTTGAGCGTGGCTGAAGTGCACCCATGACCAGCTCGGAAACCGGATTGCATAGCGGAGAAGGTACGGTGGGATTCGAAATGGTCGGTGATGTGTTTGTTAACTTGGCTTTCAAATACTTTCGAAAGGCAGGGCAGGATGGATATAGGTCTGTAACAGTTTGGATCTAGAGTGTCACCCCCTTTTGAAGAGGGTTACAGTGCGCCGTTAAGTCGCACTGTAATTATTTTACGCATTGCTGCGAACCGCTGTATTGGCGGAATAAACCATTATTCTGGGATTTACACCTCCTGCGCCTGACTCCATCCAAATCACCCGCTATAGAATCACCCGAACAGCATGGAGTCAGCAGGAGCAGAGAATATGCCTGGAGTTGTTGAGCGGGTCTGGGAGCATTCCAACATGTTAGCAAGCTTGGGCGAAGCGATGGATCGGGTTCTCCAGGCCATCCAGCGCCTGGAGAGGAGAGGACCCGACCCTGCGGAACCAGCTCAGCGACCGGATCCAGCCACCCACACACCAGCACCCAGAGGTATTCACCTTTCTCGACCAAGGGAATACGACAGGACAGCGGCCCGCTGCCAGGGTTTTCTCCTGCAGCTGGACCTCTATTTCAACACCATCAGCCCGGCTCCATCGGATTGTGAGAAGGTGTCCGCCCTCGTCTCCTGCCTCTCGGGGAAAGCCCTGAAGTGGGCCAACGCGGTCTGGAGTGAAGGAGGAGACGCGTTGGACAACTGTGGAGAGTTCGCTCGCCTCTTCCGGGCAGTCTTTGATCATCCCCCCGAAGGAAGAGAGGCGGGCGAACGTCTGGTCCATCTGAGGCAGGGACGAGGACCGCGCAAGACTTTGCCCTGGAGTTTAGAACTCTAGCAGCTGGGTCCGGGTGGAACGTGCGGGCCCTCATCGACCACTTCCGATGCGGCCTGTGTGAGGACGTCCGAAGGGAGCTAGCTTGCAGGGATACCACGTTGACCTTCAACCAACTGGTGGACATGGCCATCCGGTTGGACAACCTGCTGGCTTCGAGAGGACGTCCTGGAAGGGGCCTGCCCGTTTCACCCCCCTTCAACCCGGATCATGTTCCGATGGAGCTGGGTGGTGCAGCGTTCCGGGAGAACGGAGGACGACAGTTCCAGTGTCACTCTTGTGGCAAGAGAGGACATTCTGCTGCACGATGTCATCAGAGTTCTTCTGGTTCTGGAGGCGGCAGGCAGGGCACTCTCGCGTCACCCCAGGTAGCGCAAACCCACACTCGTTCAGAGCCCTCTGCTGCGCATTTCACCATCCACGTCAACTTTCCTGATTACACGGTAGTTCCCCAGTGTAAGGTGCTGGTAGATTCAGGCGCAGCTGGGAACTTTATGGACAGGTCTTAGCTCTTAGTCTATGTATTCCATTGGTTCCCCTGTCTATTCCATTACCCATCAAAGCACATGACAATCAACCATTAGGGTCAGGTTTTGTTAGGGAGGTTACAGCACCAGTCACTATGATTACGCAGGAGACCCATAATGAGCAAATCACGTTTCACATTATTGAGTCCCCTGATTTTCCTGTTGTGTTGGGCCTTCCCTGGCTAGCACTACACGACACCATCTTTTCATGGCCACAGAGGGCTCTCACAGGGTGGTCGCGAGAGTGTCAGGGTAGGTGTCTAGCTGTTTCCGTTGGTGCGACCACTACTCCTCATTTCCTCTGTCCTTTGTGAATGAGGTGTTTCGGGACATGCTTGGTCGCGGTGTGGTGGTCTACATCAAAGACATCCTGGTGTATTCCACTATAGAACAGTGTCTGTTCTTCCAACAATCTGTCTCCTTCCTTGGATACCACATCACCACCTCAGGTGTGGAGATGGAGGGAGATCGCATTTCAGCCGTGCGTAATTGGCCGACTCCAACCACGGTAAAGGAGGTGCAGCGCTTCATTGGCTTTGCCAATTACTATCGGTGGTTTATCTGGGGCTTTGGCAAGGTCGATAGCTCGGTGGAGCATTATGTACTTTATCGCCGAGATATTCACCTGTGTGTTTTGTTTTCCCCCAGTGCGCCGTTAAGTCACACTGTAGTTGTTTTACGCATTGCTGCGAACTGCTGTATTGGCCGAATAAACCATTATTCTGGGATTTACACCTCCTGCACCTGACTCCGTCCAAATCACCCGCTACAGCCTTGATGACAGCTTTTCACACTCTTGGCATTCTCTCAACCAGCTTCACCAGGAATGCTTTTCCAACCGTCTTGAAGGCGTTTCCACATATGCTGAGCACTTGTTGGCTGCTTTTCCTTCACTCTGCCGTCCGATTCATCCCACACCATCTCAATTAGGTTGAGGTTGGGGGATTGTGGAGGCCAGGTCATCTGATGCAGCACTCCATCACTCTCCCTCTTCGTAAAATAGACCTTACACAGCCTGGAGGTGTGTTGGGTCGTTGTCCTGTTAAAAAACAAATGATAGTCCCACTAAGCCCAAACCAGATGGGATGGCGTATCACTGCAGAATGCTGTGGTAGTCATGCTGGTTAAGTGTGCCTTGAATTCTAAAATAAATCACAGACCGTGTCACCAGCAAAGCAACCCCACACCATAACACCTCCTCCTCCATGCTTTACGATGGGAAATACACATGATACACATGCAGAGATCATCCATTCACCCACACCGCGTCTCACAAAGACACAGCGGTTGGAACCAAAAATCTCTAATTTGGACTACAGACCAAAGGACACATTTCCACCAGTCTAATGTCCATTGCTCGTGTTTCTTGGCCCAAGCAGGTATCTTCTTCTTATTGGTGTCCTTTAGTAGTGGTTTCTTTGCAGCAATTCGACCATGAAGGCCTGATTCACACAGTCCCCTCTGAACAGTTGATTTTGAGATGTGTCTGTGTCTTGAACTCTGTCATTTATTTGGGCTGCAATTTCTGAGGCTGGTAACTCTAATGAACTTATCCTCTGCAGCAGAGAGAACTCTGGGTCCTCCATTCCTGTGGCGGTCCTCATGAGAGCCAGTTTCATCATAGCTCTTGATGGTTTTTGTGTCTGCACTTGAAGAAACTTTCAAAGTTCTTGAAATGTTCCGTATTGACTGACCTTCATGTCTTAAAGTAATGATGGACTGTCGTTTCTCTTTGCTTATTTGAGCTGTTCTTGCCAAAATATGGACTTTTTTCTGTACACCCCCCTACCTTGTCACAACTGATTGTCTCAAACGCATTAAGAAGGAAAGAGATTCCACATATTCACTTTTAAGAAGGCACACCTGTTAATTGAAATGCATTCCAGGTGACAACCTCATGAAGCTGGTTGAGAGAATGCCAAGAGTGTGGAAAGCTGTCATCAAGCCAAAGGGTGGCTACTTTGAAGAATCTCAAATATAAAATATATTTTGATTTCTTTAACACTTTTTTGGTTACTAAATGATTCCATATGTGTTATTTCATAGTTTTGATGTCTTCATTATTATTCTACAATGTAAAAAAAATAGTTTAAAAAAGCAAAAAAACCTTGAATGAGTAGGTGTGTCCAAACTTCTGACTGGTAGTGTACGTAAAAAATGGATGAAGGACAACACAAAAAAGTTGACATTTCAGTTGTGCTCTAAACCTGCTCCAGTTATGGCAGGTCTTAGCCTGGTCCCAGATCTATTTGTGCTGTCTTGGAAACTCTTATGGTCACTGTTTGGCGTAGTTCGCAAGACAGCACAAGAAGATCTGGGACCAGGGCATCTGGAAATCTGGGACCAGGGACCAGGAAATCTATTTTTGTACAGTCAGAAGCTGAAATAGCCTAGATTACAGATGGATGGACTGTTTTCTCTTCACTAATCACATTTTCTTCGTATTTCTTTGATAGTTCAGGAAGAAGTTTCAAAGGAGGGAATCATTTGGTCCCTCCTGAGTGTGCGTGCTGTCTCTTACAGGGACTCTGGGAAATACATCTGCAAAGCGACGAACTTTGTGGGGACTGCAGATGCCATCATCTCCCTGGTTATCACAGACTCCTTTAAAAATGATGAACAAGGTGGCAGCTCCAAGACTAGAAACCAAAGGGGACGGAAAACCGGTGGGTTTGGGAAAGCTGCCTACCAGGATAAACTCGTTACAAAATACATACCTCCACCAACCACCACGGCGGCCACGCCCATCATCGAACCACTAGGACCGGGCGGTTTCACAGGAAAGCATAATATCGAGAGCTACAGTATTTCGCGCAGCGTGGCTGACGGACAGACGCCCAGTCCTCCCATCACGGAGACAGCGATGCAGGAAGTGGAGAAGGAGATCCTTAGCAACCTGGCAGCCAATGTCTCTTCTTTACAGGCGCCGGCGCCGCCGGAGAAACGGGTGGTGCGATCGGTGAAGGTAATCGGGGACACCGACCACACCGTCTCCCTGAACTGGCGGGCCACGGCGGCCAAGAACACTACAGAGTTCAGCGTCCTGTACGCCGTGTTTGGCGAGAGGGACATGCGGAGGATCAACGTCGGTGCGGGAAAGAACCGGATCACCATCGAGGGCCTTGTGCCAAGGACAAAGTACATCGCCTGCGTCTGCGTCAAAGGCCTGATCCCAAAAAAGGAGCAGTGCGTAATCTTCTCAACGGACGAGGCGGCCAGCGCTAGCGGCACCCAGAAGCTCATTAACGTGGTGGTGATCACCGTGGCCTGCGTGATCGCTGTCCCCCTGACGTTGATCGTCTGCTGCGGGGCGCTCAAGAAGCGCTGTAAAAAGCTACTGGAGAGGAAATCCAAAGATATCCAAGAATCATATGTGACATTCGAGACCCTCTCCCCAGGACAGAAGCCTAACGGGATGGAGGGGGAGTACCTTGCCAGGCGACAGCCAGATGAGTCCAACAGACTGCTCTCTGCTAGGTCCAGTGTGGGCTCTGAGGCCACTTGTAGGACTGAGGGACCGCCTAACGAGTACTTTTGTTGATACCAAATGATGGCCTCAACCTTTATAGGGCAGAGAAAGTCTGTCCTTTCCAAGCACAACTTAAAGATGCGTTATAAAGGTTTTGTAGAATTTCAGCCAGTAGTTGACAGCAGCGTGAGTGAAACTGCTCAGAGACTGGACAGAACTAGAAGGACAGTTGCATGGACACTTTTGCCTTTGGATAAAACATGTGTGGTGAATATGTGAGTTTAGATAAATAGGAGAAGTAAATGTACAGCCTTGTGGGAATAAAGGCCACCCTTGACCCTTGACCTGGTGAACTGTACAAAAATAAAGAAAAAAGAAAATGTTGATTTCATTGTACACATAAATTATTTCTGATCTGCAAAGAAACATTTTATATTTGTCATGCACCTTTTAAGGGGGTTATTTAACTTTTTCAAAATTCCCAGGTTTTCCAGAAATTCTGTGTGGAAGATTCCCAGAATCAGAATCGAATAGGAAACCCTAAATGATTCTACTAGAATCTTCTTAATAAAGGTTTGCAAATAGAAAGAGTAATGACAGAGTTATTCTGAAATAAATCTGACCTCAGAATTCTGGCACAGTTGTTATTTGACAAAATAATGTATTTGTAAAGTATTGTTGAAGCAGAACTCAATATCTGTAGTGATGTTTTATACTTCTGTGTATTTACCATATACAGTGAGGGGGAAAAAAGTATTTGATCCCCTGCTGATTTTGTACGTTTGCCCACTGACAAAGAAATTATCAGTCTATAATTTTAATGGTAGGTTTATTTGAACAGTGAGAGACAGAATAACAACAAAGAAATCCAGAAAAACGCATGTCAAAAATGTTATAAATTGATTTGCATTTTAATGAGGGAAATAAGTATTTGACCCCCTCTCAATCAGAAAGATTTATGGCTCCCAGGTGTCTTTTATACAGGTAACGAGCTGAGATTAGGAGCACACTCTTAAAGGGAGTGCTCCAAATCTCAGTTTGTTACCTGTATAAAATACACCTGTCCACAGAAGCAATCAATCAATCAGATTCCAAACTCTCCACCATGGCCAAGACCAAAGAGCTCTCCAAGGATGTCAGGGACAAGATTGTAGACCTACACAAGGCTGGAATGGGCTTCAAGACCATCGCCAAGCAGCTTGGTGAGAAGGTGACAACAGTTGGTGAGATTATTCCCAAATGGAAGAAACACAAAAGACCTGTCAATCTCCCTCGGCCTGGGGCTCCATGCAATTTTCACCTTGTGGAGTTGCAATGATTATGAGAACGGTGAGGAATCAGCCCAGAACTACACGGGAGGATCTTGTCAATGATCTCAAGGCAGCTGGGATCATAGTCACTAAGAAAACAATTGGTAACACACTACGCCGTGAAGGACTGAAATCCTGCAGCGCCCGCAAGGTCCCCCTGCTCAAGAAAGCACATATACAGGGCCGTCTGAAGTTTGCCAATGAACATCTGAATGATTCAGAGGAGAACTGGATTAAAGTGTTGTGGTCAGATGAGACCAAAATGGAGCTCTTTGGCATCAACTCAACTCGCCGTGTTTGGAGGAGGAGGAATGCTGCCTATGACCCCAAGAACACCATCCCCACCGTCAAACATGGAGGTGGAAACATTATGCTTTGGGGGTGTTTTTCTGCTAAGGGGACAGGACAACTTCACCGCATCAAAGGGACGATGGACGGGGCCATGTACCGTCAAATCTTGGGTGAGAACCTCCTTCCCTCAGCCAGGGCATTGAAAATGGGTCGTGGATGGGTATTCCAGCATGACAATGACCCAAAACACACGGCCAAGGCAACAAAGGAGTGGCTCAAGAAGAAGCACATTAAGGTCCTGGAGTGGCCTAGCCAGTCTCCAGACCTTAATCCCATAGAAAATCTGTGGAGGAAGCTGAAGGTTCGAGTTGCCAAACGTCAGCCTCGAAACCTTAATGACTAGGAGAAGATCTGCAAAGAGGAGTGGGACAAAATCCCTCCTGAGATGTGTGCAAACCTGGTGGCCAACTACAAGAAACGTCTGACCTCTGTGATTGCCAACAAGGGTTTTGCCACCAAGTACTAAGTCATGTTTTGCAGAGGGGTCAAATACTTATTTCCCTCATTAAAATGCAAATCACTTCATAACATTTTTGACATGCATTTATCTGGATTTTTTTGTTGTTATTCTGTCTCTCACGGTTCAAGTAAACCTACCATTAAAATGATAGACTGATCATTTCTTTGTCAGTGGGCAAACGTACAAAATCAGCAGGGGATCAAATACTTTTTTTCCCTCACTGTATGTTAATGTGCCAGGTTTACTGTCCAATCAAAGCTAACATACTACATATTTTGTAATATGTATCTACAATCTGATGTGTGTGTCTAAATGTATGACAAAATAAATATTTTGATATAAACGTTTGTGTCCTCTTAAATCCGTACCTGCTCTGTAAAAGCACTTTCCTCCCAAGACACATTATTTTTCAAGCGAATCAGAGGATAGGTTCTGTTTCAAAGATAAAGAACATCCTAATGTGATGATATCCATCTGGGGTCAATAGTCAATTATCAAGAGGTGACAACAGGCAGATTTAAGCATTATGATGGCATAGCACTAGCATGCTCGGCAATAGCATATGTTTAAGCTAAGTCTAAGCTTATTACATACGATATTATATACATTTGAAGGGCTGACGAACAGCTATACATTGCAATCAACGATGTATATAAAGCCTGGATTGCTGATGCTATGTATTGGCCACAGTATGCGGTGCTCCACCTCCTTTTCAACCGCTCCGGAAAAAAAAGAAACGCTCCTCGCTCAAAGAAAAAGAAACTGCTGCTCCAAATTAAAACTACCGCTACAAATTCATTCCATTCATTAAAATCACAATTTAACCAACACCCCATCTATTTTTTGTGACTAATTGGACCTACCATATGGTTTTGAAGTATTGAAACCAAACCATATGGATTTGAATAGAAAGTATTTTAATAAACAACAGGAAAAGGTGACTGTAATTAGAGCTCATCATTAAACAGGCTACATGTCATATTAAACAGCATATAAACCCTCTAAATAGGTCAGGAGCCAGACATTATTAATTTAGGCGATATCATTTCAATTATTTCAAGGCTATAGCCTACAAATAAATAAATTGTGAAGCATTTGCGAGAGCGACACACAAGGCTGGCAGGGACATTAAGCGCTCAGCATTTAAACAACATGTAGGTGTATTAAATCATTATAGTCTATAATTTGCAGATATAGGCTGTGACTTACTTAGAATTAAATAGAAATTAAACGAAAAATGCCTTATTAGGCTCAGTCTACAGTGCCTTTGAATTCATTTTTAGAAACATGAGTTTAGCCAGAGTCTGTGGCCTCAGGTTCAGGCCAGCAACCTGGGGATGCTAAACACCCTTCGGGACACTCTTGCCAGGCTGGGCAGGATTTTAGATAAAATAACCCTATCAAAATGGAAAGCTCCTTGAGAGATGTAATATGCCAAGCCTATTGGGCCAAAATCAATGATGGCCTACTGTATAGATAATAGAACGAAAAAGAACTAAACTTTTAAGAGATCCGACTTTTAGTTATAAATACTGCTACCATGACACACTTAGCTAGCTACCCACCTCGTTCCTTTCTGTTAGCATGTGCACTTAGTAAGTACCCCATCATGCTTTCAGGATACGTGTATTTTCAGATTCCACAGCACTCCCTCTCTACATCACAATGATTGTTTAGTTGTGGACATTACATCACCTCACTCCCTCTCTTGCTCTTGGTCCTCCTCATCTTTTTCACCTGTGTGTTTTATCAGTTTCTTTATGAAAATATTTAGCGAACTCCATGAGAGTAGCTAAAGCAAGTAGACTACCTATGCATGCTGGGCCGGGCCGGGCGCGACCTGAGCTCCTGAAGTGAACGCTACGGGAGCGAAATTGGAGCGGGCGAAAATGCCGACGCTTCAGCCTTTGGGAAATTCGCTCCACGCTCCAATCAAATTGGGCAACGCTCCCTCCTCGCTCCGTTCCAGCTCTGCTCCGCTCACATACTCTGGTATTGGCCAATGAGAGGCTTTGAAGCCACCGGTCGGCCATATTGGCACTCTTCAGAAGGCTCAGTCCTCCATAGGAATGAATAGAATTCTTCAGTATTTCAACGAATTATTTCAAGGACAAGATTACATGTATTTAAGTATTTTTTTGTTGTAGTGGGGAGAGTGATATCAGTACTCTCTAAACAATTTTTTTACTTTAACCCCCTAGAAACAATGTCCAGGCTAGCGCTGAAAAAATAATTAGCATAATAAAAAAAATCCACATCAAAATCCGTCTGTTTAAACTCGGTGGCTTCAAAACAGCTCCACCTGTCAGTCTTCTAGTGTATATATAAATCATTGGTTGAGATCAGCACCATGGATAGTGCCACGTGATATGTTTTGTTTGGTGTACAACTTGTTTCCTTGTCATGGTCACTGTGGTCCTTTACTTTGTACACAATCATCTGCAGACTATGTACTCTATGTCTGAAGACCTCTTCCAACGTTCCTCAATTAATTAACAATCCTGTTTCATGCAGTATACAAATAATAGGTGTTGGGTATATAGTGCCATTTTCTCAATAGTTTGTAGTACCTCTAATCTATAGATTGCGTATTATGCTTCCTGATAATCTATTTATACTTTTTTTCGTCAGGTCACTGTCAGTACATATTCAATATCAAGTAGCCTAGGTATATTTCGTAGAAATCACATTATTCCTGAAAGCCTTCCCATTCATTCATAGGGATTAGGGAACATACATTCAGTAGCAGCACAGTCAATTTGCCTCGTTGCTAAAAATACAAACTTCCGGTGTGTTTAACATGTCATTTGGGGTCTTAAGAAATTGCTTCAAGGCAGATTAAAGTAATAGGTTTACCTCTACCGTCCGTCCCTGTGGAGATGCCCTGCTCAAATGCGTTTCTGTAAAAAGGAATATGGTCACCTTGTATACAGTATTAGCTATAGTTTTGCTATTCTATCGAGTTACTCCTGGATCAACATCTTGTTTACCCGGCTGTTCTTGCACAAATGACAACTTGGGAAGGTAAATTGTTTGTTGTCAATTATTTTGTAGGCTAACTAGTTTTGTACCGAGTTTCTTTACCTTGTCAGAAGGTTATGCAGTTGACCTATTTAGCCTATTGCTAAACTCAATGGTGGTTTTTTCATAACTGGTTTTAACAATGGACAATGTGGAGAGATAATTTACTATAATATAATATAAATAACCTATGTTGTTTTATTTTAACATGAAATTATAACGATACCCGTACTTACATAACCCAAAATGTTTTTGTTTTATTTTAGATCCTTACTTTGTATGGAAACCGCCATGGGACGAATCCCAGACAACGTTCCAAATGATTTCAGTAAAATTCGAATAGAGAATTCCCACCTGACCGAATTACCTCGCCGCTCCTTCGCTAACGTGAACGCCTTGGCGTCTCTGTGGTTGAATTTCAACGACATCACCCTGATGAACATCAAGAGTCTGGAGGGGCTGACGAATCTAACAGAACTGCGGCTACAGGGAAACAAGCTGCGTTCAGTCCCATGGACGGCGTTCCAGGATACGCCGAACCTGAAGATTTTGGACCTGAAACATAACCGACTAGACGTGCTGCCGGAATCCGCCCTGAGACAACTACCAGGCCTGACCTATTTAGATTTATCCTTCAATCAGCTTACTGTCATATCCAGGGATGTCTTCCTCAACTGGCCTCTCCTCAACACGCAGGAGAGAAACGGAGGTAAAGAGGCCAGCAGTGGAGAGGCCAACGTCGTTTTAGCGCTGCACGACAACCCTTGGCTGTGTGACTGCCGCCTCAAAGGTTTCGTCGAGTTTATCAAAACCGTTAGTCCACCTCTAATTCTGATGAACTCGTACCTGACGTGCACCGGCCCCAGTTCCAGGGCGGGGAAGTTCTTCCTCGAGGTCGGTTTGAAAACATGTATGAAACCCGAGGCCTCAGCCTCAGAAACCAACATGACGGTGTCGCTGGGGGACAATGTAACCCTCCAGTGCTTAGTCAAAGCCAGGCCTGACCCCGCCATCCACTGGTCATACAGCCTAAAGATTATAAGGGGATTTACTGGTAAGGTTTTATTTAATTGCAACTTCTAGGCTATCATCCATTAGATTGCTGTGACTTTATTTACCAGTGACTGATATCATAGGTCAGTCACTCATAGTTTATTGTAAGCTACACCACTTTGATGACAGGATTTAAGACAAGTAGGCTAAAGCATGTGTATTTCATATATATGAATCTGGTTTATAGATTGAAACAGTGTTTGGTAGGCTATTGGTGTTTATAGATTGAAACAGTGTTTGGTAGGCTATTGGTGTTTATAGATTGAAACAGTGTTTGGTAGGCTATTGGTGTTTATAGATTGAAACAGTGTTTGGTAGGCTATTGGTGTTTATAGATTGAAACCGTGTTTGGTAGGCTATTGGTGTTTATAGATTGAAACAGTGTTTGGTAGGCTATTGGTGTTTATAGATTGAAACAGTGTTTGGTAGGCTATTGGTGTTTATAGATTGAAACAGTGTTTGGTAGGCTATTGGTGTTTATAGATTGAAACAGTGTTTGGTAGGCTATTGGTGTTTATAGATTGAAACAGTGTTTGGTAGGCTATTGGTGTTTATAGATTGAAACAGTGTTTGGTAGGCTATTGATGTTTATAGATTGAAAGTGTTTGGTAGGCTATTGGTGTTTATAGATTGCTTTAAACAATGTATGACACAGCCTTTCTTGTAGGAAAACTTAACAATAATGCCTAATGCAACATATTACAAATACAGTACTGAATATTATACATTTACAATATGCAAATTTTTATTCACCCTTGTCGATTAAGTTGTATCATAATTCTCCTTTCTCTTCAGTCTCAGAGACCCGTGTGGATGATGAGACCATCAGATCTCAGCTGGTCATCCCATCCCTCCACATGGCGGACCGAGGTGTCTACACCTGCTACGCCAACAACTTCATCGGCAACTCCTCCGCCAGTTTCCTGGTCAACATCAAGTCTTTCAACGCCTCGTCCTCCGGCGGTTCAGCCATGTCTCCTCCCCCGTTCCCCCTGGCCTCAGCCGACGAGAACGTATACATTGACATCCGCATCTCCAAGCAGACGGTCTACGGCATCACTCTGGAGTGGTACGCTGCGACAGACAACCCGTCAGAAACCTGGTTCACCATCCACTTGGGGAAATACCACTCGGACAAAAGGGAGTTGACATACATCGGGCCGGGCATCAACACCTATTCGGTCAACGACCTCATACCGGTTACTAAATACGAAGTGTGTGTGACGCTGAAGAACCAGATGCCCCGCGCCGGCCAGTGCATCGTGTTCGTAACAGGAAGTGACATCAGCCAGCTGGAACAACGAGCGAAGCTCATCCATATTATGGTGATCGTGTGCGCCATGGGGCTGGCGGTGCCCGTGGGCATGTACGCCTGCACCACCGACACCAGATGTACGTTCAGCTGCCTGGACCGCTGTACGGAGCAGTGTAAGAGGAGGAGGCGGCAGGAGAAGACCCTGAGGACGAATGGGGAGAGACAGGGGACCTTCGACAGCCTCCAGGCCGCCAGCGATGAAGGACTCTGTGGCGACTCTGATGAGGTGATGAAGAAGAGGACTAAGTCCTCAGAGGAAAGAAACAACCACAGGGGAAAAGCACAAGATCTACCAGAGACAACCACTGGAGCAAAGCTATATTAGATGTAGGTTTAACGATTAAAACGTGTACAAGACGTCTAGAGGAACAGTTATCTGTAATAATGGGGGGCAGTCTTATGTGAAGTGAAGCTTCAGGAAATGCATCTGTAAAGCTTAAAGTTGTCATGCTAAGAGTGAAATGCCTTCCTTCTATGTCGGTAGCAAGGTTTATTTGTTAAATGAGTTTATATACTGTATCTATTTAGCTTGATTGTTCTCTGTTTTAAAAGAAAAAAATGGAATACAAACTTATCTGGCCCCAAAAAAAAACCATAATGTTAATTCTGTACATGCAATATAGTTGCAAATATTTTCTTGTCTTCAGAATGTAATGAACTGCATTTCCTCACGGTTCGTTGAAACTCATTCATTAGGAGAGGTTCAGTTAAATCTACAGTAATACACACTGTATATAGCCTTTGCACTACTACCTACGTAATGAATGAGGCTTCTTTGCTACTCTTTTCCTGTTTTTGACTCACTTTTTTATAAGGGGTGGGATGGTGAGGATTAGAGTTGGGGGTGAAGATGTTTGGGATTAGAGTTGGGGGTGAAGATGTTTGGGATTAGAGTTGGGGGTGAAGATGTTTGGGATTAGAGTTGGGGTGAAGATGTTTGGGATTAGAGTTGGGGGTGAAGATGTTTGGGATTAGAGTTGGGGTTGAAGATGTTTGGGATTAGAGTTGGGGGTGAAGATGTTTGGGATTAGAGTTGGGGGTGAAGATGTTTGGGATTAAAGTTGGGGGTGAAGATGTTTGGGATTAGAGTTGGGGGTGAAGATGTTTGGGATTAGAGTTGGGGATGAAGATGTTTGGGATTAGAGTTGGGGGTGAAAATGTTTGGGATTAGAGTTGGGGGTGAAGATGTTTGGGATTAAAGTTGGGGGTGAAGATGGACACTTGAGACAACACCATCCTAATTGCTCCCTACCCAAATCCCATTGGCCTTACATTTTTGACTTTTACAAATCTGAAGGGTCTGGATTAGGGTTGTAAAATTCTGGTAAAGTTCCCAAATCCTGGTTGGAGATTAATGGAATCAGGAAATCCTGGTTCGAGATTCATGGAATCAAGAGGGAATAAGCATGAAATTCCCAGAAAACCTGGGAATTTTAGGAAAGTAACCGTCATTTTGTAACCCTTTTCTGGATAGGTATAAGAGGTTTAGTTGTGGAATTTCCTTTATATTGATAACTGACACCTTACAGATCTGTAAACATCCAAGGGTTAGGGCAAGGGGGAACGGAGTGAATTTTCACAGATTAACAATTTGATTTTAGCACAATCACTCAAAAGGATGTGTTATGTAAGCATTGCTTGGTGTGCATTTATTCATACACTGGTAAAGAGATTATAGTGTTGTTTTTTTCTATCTGAATAATCTGTATCTTGTATCTCTCTAGATCTTAACCATGTGTGTCTGTCCCAAATGGCCCCCTATTATCTGTGTAGTGTACACTACTGGTCAAAAGTAGTGCACTACACATGGAATAGGGTGCCATTTGGGTTTCACTAGATCTTAACCATGTCTCACATAGAATATATTCTCTGAGTTTACTGCAAGCTGCATTAGATTATCATTTCTGATATATATATATATTTTTATATATATATATATATGTGTGTGTGTGTGTCTGTCACATTATGGGGTAAATAGTCTAGTCCTTAATGTACTTGAATGTATTTGTGTTTTCAACAATGGCCTAAAATATCTGTCTTTCACATGCCAATGTGATCAAAGCATGTATAGTCTTGAATAAAAGCACATCTATTGTGGAGTCAAAGATATTCTACTTCTGTGATTTGTATCATCATAAGTTTACGTCTTTCACTTTGTTACATTTAAAATTCTGGTAACTTTCCCAAAATGTTCAGGTTTTCCAGAGATCCCAGGTGAAAGATTCCCGGAATCGAAAGAGCATAATCAGGAAGTCAGGAATTTTTCCACCCTATTTATGACTCATCCCTAGCCTACTGATTGTGGTTGGTTTGACTACTGAACTTTGCTATCAACATTCTCAGCCGCCAAAAGACAAAAGCCTCTTATGTCTAAGTGAGCATTACCCTCGAATGAGTGAAAAGAGACTAGAGGGTCAAGAAAGAAGATTAGGAAAACGGTGCAGGTCAGTTGAATGCAGTATAGGGCGTTGATGCAAGCCTACCACGCAAAGGCAGTATGGATTTATTTTCCCTGGTTGACACAGACATGCTCAGGAAAGTGACATCACAACTTAAGCCTTTTACCTGCCTTCTCGATCCTATCCCCACCACCTTCTTCAAAACTGTTTTTAATTGCATATCTGAAGAAGTGCAAGCTATTGTTAATCACTCCCTGTTCTCTCCCTGCTATGGTGAAACCCCTTCTGAAGAAAACGAATCTAGATTCTTCAGCTCTTAGCAATTTTCTGACAATCTCCAACCTTCCATTCTTACGCAAAATTCTGGAGAAATTGGTTTTCAAACAGCTAAATAATTGTTTAAGTGCCAACTGTATTTGTGAAAAATTTCAATCTGTTTTTTTGTGCCCACAGAGACAGCCTTAGTTAAAGTGGTAAATTATCTTAGAGCCAACACAGATGCCAAACAGCTCTCTGTCCTTGTACCATTGGATTTAAGTGCTGTATTCAACACTGTTGACCATGATGTACTTCTGGACAGAATGGAGAGGTGGGTTGGCCTCTCCAGTCCAGTTATAAAATGGTTTAGGACCTATTTAACCGGTCAAAAGTTTTTTGTCACCTTTGGTGAACATAACAAAGAGAAAATACATATCACATGTGGCATTCCACAATGTTCGATTTTGGGTCTGTTCAGTTTATATACAGTTGAAGTCGGATGTTTCCATACACTTCGGTTGGAGTCATTAAAACTTGTTTTTCAACCACTCCACAAATTTCTTTTTAACGAACTATAGTTTTGGCAAGTCGGTTAGGACATCTACTTTGTGCATGACAAGTGATTTTTCCAACAATTGTTTACAGACAGATTATTTCACTTATAATTCACTGTATCACAATTCCAATGGGTCAGAAGTTTACATACACTAAGTTGACTGTGCCTTTAAACAGCTTGGAAAATTCCAGAAAATGATGTGATGGCTTTAGAAGCTTCTGATAGGCTAACTGACATAATTTGAGTCAATTGGAGGTGTACCTGTGGATGTATTTCAAGAGCTCCCTTCAAACTCAGTGCCTCTTTGCTTGACATCATGGGAAAATCGCAAGAAATCAGCCAAGACCTCAGAAACAAAATGGTAGACGATACACAACTTTACAATTCTGTGTCACCAGAGGATTTTAGCTCCACGGATAAATTATTAGACTGTATTAGATGACTTGGATGGCTTCCTCCAGCTAAATCAAGACAAGCCCGAGGTATTTATTGTTGGAGCCAAAGCACAGAGAGAGAATCTGGCCACACGTTAGGTAAACACCAGGTTAAAAAAACGTAGGTGTTATTTTAGATTCTGAACTAAATTTCAAATGACACATTAGGAATGTGACCAAAATAGCTTTTTACCACCTGAGGAATATTGCCAAGGTGCGGCCGTTTCTCTCTCAGGCTGATACAGAGAGACTCATCCATGCTTTATTACAAGCAGGCTTGACTACTGTAATGGTCTCCTCAGACGGAGAGCACACATTACACCAGTTTTAAGGTCTCTGCAATGGCTGCCTGTGAGTTTTAGAATACATTTTAAGATTATTCTATTGGTTTTTAGATCAAACCATGATTGTGCACCCCAATACATATCAGACATGTTTTTAAGTTATTTACCCAGTAGGTCCCTCAGGTCCTCTGGCACTGACTGGCCTTCTAACCATCCCAAATCCTAGAACCAAGACGCATGGAGAGGCAGCCTTTAGTTATTATGCCCCCAGCCTCTGGAATAGCCTGCCAGAGAACCCGAGGTGGGACGAAACTGTGGACATATTTAAAAGAGATCTTAAAAACGCATATTTTTTGCTTTGCTTTTCCTTATGGTGCTTTTTAGTCGTTCAGTTTTTGTCATTCTCCTGTTTTTTGTCTTATGTATGTTTGTGTAGTAAATATTTCAGCTTGGATGTCGGCTATAGTGTAAATTACCTTTAAAAGTCAAGTGCAATGCACTGGTTGACAACACGCCTTTGATTGAATCCCAGGCTTTGCGCGCTTCAACTGAATAATGACATACAGCACCGTACCTATCACAGGAGGTTGGTGGCACCTTAATTGGGGAGGACGGGCTCGTGGTAATGGCTGGAGCGGAGTCAGTGGAATGGTATCAACTAAATCAAACATGGTTTGATGCCATTCCATTTGCTCCGTTCCAGCCATTGTTATGAGACGTCCTCCCCTCAGCAGCCTCCACTGGTTCCTATCTACTAGGGGTGTAACGATTCATCTACTACATCGATGTATCGATTTATATTCATATGATCCAACTACATCGATCTGTGCGCGGCGAGTTGGCCTTTTGGACAACATATATCGATCTAACATCGTTTTAAAATGTAATAAATCGATTGTATCGATACTAGCAAATAACCCATTGGATTTAAGCACGTCAGACTTTATATGCAGGGGTGCCCATAACTGGTACGCAGATACGCAAGCACGACAAAAATCAGGAATGCGTAATGCCACTTGTGTTACTACGCGCCTTTGCGTACTTGACCGATCTTCTCATCTAACCTTACACATGACATGTTGCTTGTCAACTACTGTCAGGGATGTCCAAAAAGCAACAGACATTAAGCAGCCTTTTTGGCGTTTCGCCACCTACAAAGAAACGCCAACTGGAGCCAGAGCCGAAGAAAATAATTTTTTCGGAAAAGTGGCTCCAAGATGTGCAGTGGCTTGAAGCTAACGATGAGCGCACTGAAATGTGGTGCAAGATTTGCCGCTCAAATCCACATCTAGCAGACAAAACAGGTGCATTTTATAAAGGCTCAAAGAATTTCAACCATCCTTTATTTGACCAACATGAAAAGAGCAAGGAGCACACGAATGTGGCGCAAGCCATTGCTAAAAGCTAGCCGAGAATAAATGCATAAAGCTAAACACGCACGTCCCATGTCTTCCTATTCTGAGGATGTTCCTTTACTGAATGCTTTTTGATGGATCTGAGGACATCACAAAAACTGAGCAGGAAATAGTTTACATTGTGTCTGTGTCCAGCAACGGAGAGTTTACTTCGGACTTTATTGGACTGGTTGAATTGGGTGCTGACCGAACCGCACATGTCAACGTAGGTATGGGTAAGTTTCATAATACCAGATGGTCTGCATGGAGGCATGAAACACTGTTCAAAATATCAAGACTATTGCCAGCCATTAAAATGCAACTGGTTACCAGGTATTTATTTCAGTCACACTGGTTGAATTTTTGGCTAAAAGGTTACTGAATCGATTTCAAGTCACTGAATCGTTTCGGATCGTATCGTTCTAAATGAACCAATATCGTCCTTGAATCGTATCGACAACCACGAATCGTGATACAAATCGAATCGTTACACCCCTACTATCTACACATAAAACATTTTTTATTTTTTTATTTACTTTATTAGTAATTTATTGCAGATCACAAAATTATTTCTGTATTCTAGTTTTAGTTTATTGTTATCTAAAACGTATTGTATATCTAGCTGGTTATGAACTAACAAAATCACAACACAACAATTATTTTCCTATATTTATTCAAAATGATAAAATAAAGACAATAAAGATTTCACTTCAAGGGACAGGCAAGTGTTACACAGCATACATACATTATTATAATAATATATACATACAGAATATATTGTATCGTTATGTATCCCATGAATTTCCATGTAGTTCGCACAGCGTGGAAATGAATGTTTCAAAATTCCAACCAGGTTTATGGACAATTTTGAAAAACAGTGATTATTAGTGACTCACGTGTCACTAAATAAATGTATAGCTAATACTTTATTTTTTTATATATTTTTTTACAACATCTCCATTTATACAGTTTGATATTTACTGAAACAACAAAGCGATCCCTTCATTTAAGTGAGTAATCCAACACCAATCCCCCAAATTAAAAGCAGACCCTTTTGAAATATAAAAGCATTTAAGCAAAACAAGAAAACAGAGAAAGAAAAAAAAGTAACTGATTTCAAACAAGCAAGAGCTTTTGTTGTTTTGAAAGCAGGCAGTGGCACATCATAATCCTAGTACATCTACTTCCCTACTTCAAAATATGACAACATTAGAATGTCACTACACAGGTCCATGAGCACTTCATGTTTTAAGCAATGGCATTTATCCTGTCAAGAATATATCTTATTTTATAGCGGTCTTATATAGCTGCTTCGATCTGATGCACAGTTAAAAGTGGGTACATTTTAGGGGATGGGCATTTGAAATTGTTTCACTATTAGAATAATATCATTGTATTTTTTCAAATATCCGGATAGTATAAATATATGTGTTTTAAAGAAAAAAACAGTTGTTTTGGAAACTTCAATGGAGACTTGCTTGTTTCAGCAGAACGGTGGGGAAGGGACACGAGCAGAGAGGAGTAGAGGCCGGTGTGTGGCACTAGTTACACAAACGTGTTGCTGCCATAGGTTTCCTATCATGTCATCTGGTAGTGCCCGTCTTTACTGAATCAAATCGTTGTAAAGAAGTTAGCCAGCTGGCTAGCTACAGTAGCCAACTAAGTTAGCCAGCTGGCTAGCTACAGTAGCCAACTAAGTTAGCCAGCTGGCTAGCTAAAGTAGCAAGGCTGATTGAGGCTATTTTGAGGCGTCCTTGACGACAACAACCCCATTCATATGAAACAACAGCCTACCTGTTGGTTGATCATTGTAGCTTACTCCTCATTTAGCCAAATTAATTAGGTAATTTTAATTCCATTTTGCATTGATTAGGCTCTGACTGTAGCGCCGCTCTGATTGACCGACAATAACAACAAGCTACACTGTGGAACGTGTGTACGGCCTAGGCTATCGGTGCGTCTTTTTTTAATGGAGCACACTCATACAAACTGTCATTAAACTGTTGTTTTATTAAAATGTCGAATGTAGTTAAGAAGCACGGTTTGGCTGGTCATGTTTCGGAGGACGCACGACTCGACCTTCGCCTCTCCGGAGCCCTTGGGGAGTTGCAGCGATGAGACAAGATCGTAATCACGGAATTGGGGAGAAAAAGGGAGAAAATTACAAAAGAAATTACCAAATGTCGAATGTAATGGCTATCCTTTTTAGCGTATGTAGATCATTGTATAAATAAAAAGAGGCCTATTTTTTTTAAATCTAAAAAATAAATAGTCTCCCAAGTAGTCTAATTGAATACCAACTGCCGTTCTGACTTTTGAATAACTGTGCCCATCCCTAGTAGGCTACATTTGTCTGGCAACAATCCTAATCCTATATTTCAGCACTATTCTTGACAACATTGCATGGTCTTAAGCAAATAAAACATAACTTTTCAGGAACATATGTACAGTTCTGTAAACACAGAAATATGCAGTAATCTTTTCCTCAGACATGGTCCAGTATTTCCCCCTCAGTCACTCTTGTTAACACGTTGTTTCCCTCAAGATGGCAGCAATGCAGAGACTTATCTAACAAGGATCCCATTACATTTCTCAAGATGGCAGTGCAGAAATGTCTCTAGTTATTTCTAAAGCTGGATGACAGAGACTGCGTCTCAAATGGCATCCTATTCCCTATATAGTCCACTATTCTTGACCAGGGCCCATAGGCCCATGGATCCACATTATGTTAACATATTTAAGAAAACGTGTAGAGCTGGTTAGATTCAATAGGTTCAATAATAGGACACTGTGTTGCAACATTGCTTTGACAAAGGACTTGCTTAGAAACAAATACAGTTTTGAAGGAAATTAACCTGCTGTCCTCAACCTTCCTTTACAATTGCAGTTTTACAATCCTAAGACTGAGCACCTTCAGTGGTCCAGACAATTATTGAAAGATTGGTTAGAGCGCCAGCACACCACAACTATCAGGTTCAATAATAGCTTGAGTTACTCTCAATGATTTTCTGCTGCAGCCTCATTTTGAGTTCAGAGACCAGGGCTGAGCTGACAGGGATTCTAGTAGTCTCAGAGCTGATGTTGCTGTCTCTGCTGGTGCTCTTGGAAGCCAGGGCCCCAGAGACGGTGGGCACTGCTGCCCGGGGCCTCTCACTGGGCCTGGGGTTGGAAGATGGAAGGGGGCAGGATGGAGGGGGCAGGCAGGGGGCTCTGGGGGGCAGAGGCTTGGGCTTTGACCTGGAGCACCGGGGTCTGCCGTTTTTGTTGGGGTTGATGCTGACACTCCCTGCTTCCGGGTCGTCTACAACGGTCTTGTTCAACAGGTCATTTCCACCGCCTCCACTGAACGGTACGTTAAACGTCCACGGCTTGCGGTCCTTTGGTGGTCTCCGTCTGATGATGATGCGACGTGCCGGCATTATCCTGTTGGACTTTGTGTTGCGCAAGAACATAGCCGTGGATATCAAGACAGTGACCCCTACCAATATGCTAATGACACCAGCGACCATGCCTAGAGCCTTCATTGGGTTGTCCCTACTTTGCAATAAAAAGGCTGCCATAGGCCCCTTGAGTTGAGTCTGTAAAAGAGCAAAAAATATCATACTTTTAATCACGCCCATCCACGGGGCTAGATCATCAAACGTTTTAAACGTTCACCATTTTGGTCCAAAGCATGCAGGCAAGCAGCGAGGTCAGAGGTCAGACATGCGCCAAGCACTGACAGAGGAGCCCCAGACAGACAACATCTCTATAACATTCGCAGCATGACGACTGCGGGTAGTAAATGGTGGTCTACTTTAGGCTGTGCAATTTGGGACTATGCACACTGGTGGTAGTTGTCGGGAGTATGTCTGGCAGTGCGGTGGGTGCATCAGAACGGTTTGTTCTTTTTGTTCACGAGCAGTGACATGTTTCTGATGAGGATTGTGTTGTGGATTAACTTCCTGTGACAGGATCCTAAAGCACTACGTTCATTGCTACTGGGTCTTTGGTTTGAGTGTATTATTTACATGGATATGAAAAATGAAATGAAAAATAGAGATTACTCTGTTCTTCTGACAAAGGGATTAACCCAAACTCAAGACACTGGTTTGAAATGAAATGACTTAATCTTTGTTACTTCAGTATAGTCAAACTGTTTAAAATATGCTCTAGATTACTATAAAATAAGTACTACATACTATAATGGTAGAATTATAATTTGACAACATAATCAAAACAGTATACATAAAAGTACATAAAAATACATTTCTAGGAGTAGAAAAACATCTCCCAATCAAAATATAAAAGATGGATATGAAATAACTATTATTTTTTGGTATAATATTATATTGTGTATGATATATCTTTGTTTATTTTATTTATTTAACCTTTATTTAAACAGCTAAGTTAGTTATGAAAAAAATATTATTTACAATGACGGCCTGTCGAAAAACTTTGTGTGTACTCATTTACTGTTCCTTTATAATGTACTCGAGTACTCTCCTTTATAATGTGCTCCAGTACTCTCCTTTATAATGTACTCGAGTACTCTCCTTTATAATGTACTCCAGTACTCTCCTTTATAATGTACTCCAGTACTCTCCTTCATAATGTGCTCCAGTACTCTCCTTTATAATGTGCTCCAGTACTCTCCTTTATAATGTGCTCCAGTACTCTCCTTTATAATGTGCTCCAGTACTCTCCTTTATAATGTGCTCCAATACTCTCCTTTATAATGTACTCCAGTACTCTCCTTTATAATGTAGTCCAGTACTCTCCTTTATAACGTACTCCAGTACTCTCCTTCATAATGTGCTCCAGTACTCTCCTTTATAATGTACTCAAGTACTCTCCTTTATAATGTGCTCCAGTATGTAGTTCTGTCCTTGAGCTGTTCTTGTCTATTAATGTTATGTATTAAGTCATGTTTCATGTGGACACCAGGAAGAGTAGCTGCTGCCTTCGCAACAGCTATTGGGGATCCCAATAAAATACCAATACAAGAATCCAATAGAAAAATCCTATCCTTTATAATGTGCTCCAGTACTCTTTTACAGACAAAGCAGTAAAATAAAAATGATATTGTTTTTAAAAATGGATCATAAAGTAATGTCTTGCAGACATAATAAGGTGATATATAAAACGTAGTCTGTATAGTCCAGCGGGATGAGTCTCATGATCATTTGGGCCTTCGGATAACTCTGATGAAACTGGCCTGGGGGTTGACGCGAGCTTTCTTCACTGTTCTACAGTACAAGGTAGTGGATATACAGATTGTTAGTAAGATGGTGAAGCTGACTATGGCCAAAAAAAGTCCAACAACATTTGATGGGCGCTTGATGAGGTTTAGGAAGTTTGCAATTATTCGAGCTTTGATCTGAAAAGCACAATACGACACAGAAGACAACAGAGATAATATTCTACTATTCTATTCTTCTCGAATATGATGTCAAATATGTAGGGTTTAGTTAAATAATTTATAGGAAAGTAAGCTTTAAAATTAATGTAATCAATTAATGCAAATTTAGAAACGAAAATACACTTAATGAGTATGTGATTTTTTTTTTACATTATAAAAACAAACAAAACATAAACAATTGAAATACCACTTTCTTTATGTTTTTATTGGAGGAGAGTTTGAGTGATGTAAAATATCACTTAACAGGCTTGACAGAGCTAATGCTGCTGGCATTAATAGTTCACCCAAATTACAAAATGGCACATTGGTTTCCTTACCCTGTAAGCAGCCTATGGACAAGGTATGACAGCAATCCATGCATTGGCTTAGTTTCCCTGGCACTGTTTCCAAATGCTAACGTTTGAGCATTTGTGGCACAAATCCCATTCAAGTCATGGTACCGATATTAGCATTTTTCACTCATCATGTGAAACTAAGCCAACGCATGGATTGCTGTCATACCTTGTCCATAGACTGCTTACAGGGTAAGGAAACCAATGTGCCATTTTGTAATTTGGGTAAACTATCCCTTTAAGGTTAGAAGTCTATGCTAAAGGTTTGAGTTAGAAGTCTATTGTAAGGGTTTGGGTTAGTTAAGGTTAGGGAACTTAGGTTTAAATTCTTACCACAGTGATACTACAGCGTTAGTGAGCATTAGGGTTAGGTTAAGGTTAAGGTTAAGGGTAAGCATTAGGGTTACGTTAAGGTTAAGGGTAAGCATTAGGGTTAGGTTAAGGTTAAGGGTAAGCATTAGGGTTAGAAAGTTAGCGTCAGGGTTGGGAAATTAGGCAGTTCGGATTAGAGTTAGGTTAGGGTTATTACTCTACGGTTAAGGTCAGGAAACATTAAACCTACCGCTTCAGTGATGTCGATCTTGACCACGGCGGTAGTGCTGAAGGACGGAGACCCTCTGTCCCGGGCCTGGACCACCAGAGACCACCTGCAGTCCTTCTGCTCGGTGATGTTCTGCACTATCTCCATGGACTTGATGTAGGACTTCAGCTTGATCTCTCCCGTCTCCGCGTTGATGTCGAAGATGTTGTCAGGTTCAGCTTGCATAATGGAATACTCGATGACGTTATTGGGCGACTCTGCATCGGCATCTATTGCCTGAATGGAAGAACGAAAAAGCAGCAAAATCAAACACATTAGTTACTTTAAAATTGCTCTATACTGGAGCAGTTGTGGATACGCTCACATTTCAGGTAATTATAATCCAACAAAAGCAAACATTCAATGTACAATGTTTACTAGGGGTGTAATGATTCATGTATGGGACCGAACCGATGGGCCAGTGAACTGTCACAGGTTTAAAGCTTATTTCCTGCAATCCTACACATTCTGTCGTGGGTTGCATAGAACATTTTGCCGTCTTAAAGTACATTTTCTTACAATTCTATACATTTTGCCATGTCTAACGTGTATTGTTATATTTGAGTGACTCAAACATTACAACAAAATCTATGGGCTAAAAAACCTAGCTAAAAAACTTTAGCTGACATGGGTAGTTGATCTGGACATTTCTGACAAGTTATAAACAGCTCTCTAAGGTCTGCAATGACTGACATGACAAGAGGAATACTGATGATGCACTAACCAATTTTGAAATGGCACCTTGTGCGTTCTACTATTACAACTTTCAAGAGTAAGTTGAAAGCCGGACTGAGTACCTTTAAAAAAATAAAATAACGACGCCCCCCCCCCCCCGCCGACCCCTGCCCTAGGGTATACCACTACACACGACATGGCTTCTCTACATACCTCTACTTTAGGGATCTGTAAAGTGCCATCTTATCGCTACTGTATATACCTCTACTTTAGGGATCTGTAAAGTGCCATCTTATCGCTACTGTATATACCTCTACTTTAGGGATCTGTAAAGTGCTATCTTATCGCTACTGTACATACCGCTACTTTAGGGATCTGTAAAGTGCTATCTTATCTTATCGCTACTGTATATACCTCTACTTTAGGGATCTGTAAAGTGCCATCTTATCGCTACTGTATATACCTCTACTTTAGGGATCTGTAAAGTGCTATCTTATCGCTACTGTATATACCTCTACTTTAGGGATCTGTAAAGTGCCATCTTATCGCTACTGTATATACCTCTACTTTAGGGATCTGTAAAGTGCTATCTTATCGCTACTGTACATACCTCTACTTTAGGGATCTGTAAAGTGCTATCTTATCGCTACTGTACATACCTCTACCCTAACAGGTGCACCGATGATCATGGTCCTCTCCACAAGGCTGTCATCGAACTCTGGAACATGGTCGTTGACGTCCAGGACAGTGACAAACACCTCCGCCAGGCTGTACTTCCCCTCTGTGTCCTCTGCCTTCACGTAGAAGTTGTACTTGGACTTGACCTCAGCGTCCAGAGTGGCCCAGGCCTGGGTGTAGATGATGCCTGAGGACGGGTGGATGAGAAACCTGGAAAACACAACAGAAAGTGTATTAGCGGTATATTGACAGTGTATTAGCGGTATATTGACAGTGTATTAGCGGTATATTGACAGTATATTAGCGGTATATTGACAGTATATTAGCGGTATATTGACAGTATATTAGCGGTATATTGACAGTATATTAGCGGTATATTGACAGTATATTAGCAGTATATTGACAGTATATTGGCAGATTATTAGCAGTATATTGAGAGTATGTTGGCAGTATATTGACAGTATACTGGAAGTATATTGGCAGTATATTGGCAGTATACTCTTAGCACTTTTTTTTCTATCTAGAACCTAAAAGGGTTCTTTGGCTGTCCCCATAAGAGAACCCTTTGAATAACCCTTTTTAGTTCCAGGTAAAACCCTTTTGAGTTCCATGTAGAACCCTTTCCACAGAGGGTTCTACATGGAACCCAAAATAGTTCTACCTGGAACCAACAGGGGTTCTACCTGGAACCAAAAGGGGTTTTCCTATGGGGACAGACGAAGAACCCTTTTTTCTAAGAGTATATATTAGCAGTATATTGGCAGTATGTTAGCAGTATATTGGCTGCATGTTAGCAGTATATTGGCTGTATGTTAGCAGTATATTGGCTGTATGTTAGCAGTATATTGGCAGTATGTTAGCAGTATATTAGCAGTATATTAGCAGTTATGTAACAGTCAAGGTTATGCACTATATGTACTGTGCGTTACAGTTTAATCTTGGATTAAAACTCATGGGGAAAATATGTCAAGACCCGTGTTCCAGGATGCTGGATCAAGTTTTCTGTACAATCACAAAGGTTGTTTTTTGTCCAGTACACATTTTTAAAGTCCAATATTATGTTAAAGCAGCACATATTCAGCCATTTTCCAACATTTTCTTTTTACAACTTATTCCGTGTGAAAATTAACAAATGCAAAGCAAACTGTTAACTTTCACACATTTATAAACGGCAAGCAAAACTGGAAGATAACTTGACACTTATTTTTTTCAATGTACTGCCTGTATTGCAGCCTGCCTGCCTTGCTTGCTTTCCATAGCAGAGCTCCAGCTGTCACATTGCATGTTAATTGGCCCTCTCTACACGAGACATCCAGGCCTGGCAGGCTATTTCTTACCCTACATCCAATTACGAGATTAACCAGTCAGTATCTTGCCGCCATCTTAGAGTAAGCTGTTACAGGAGAGAGGAGAGGAGCTACAAGCAGAGCCAACCCAATATACTGGAATACTGGCTGCTCCCATCTTCCAATCAAAGGGGAAGAATCTGAGTTGAGAGATGGTTGACCTGAGCAGGATTAGTTAATCCAAGTCAAACTCATTCATTCTTAGCCACAATAATCATGGCCGGCAGGTGATGGAATGGCATGAAAAAGATTCATCTTTCTGAGACTGATCAGTCAGGAGGAGGCTGGTTCATCTGATAGTGACAGTTGTTGTTATGCCTGGGTGGAGTGGAGTAGGCTCAACTAAACACTGTTTACACACCTTTTTTATTTTGCACAAGCGTTTTCACACCTATTGCGGAAAAGGGCATAGAAAATATAGGGGGCTGTACTTTATTCACTGCAAACGGCGATCAGCATTTACCCACTTTTTTTTAACCATTACATCACTGTTGCTGAGCGATTGGGATGTTATGTAATTATCCAATATAAAGAGCCAGCAGGTTACCCCACGTCTGTCCTAACACATAATCAGACATTCAAAATAATTATATTGCATAAGTGATCATTTCTGCCCATATTGGTCTGTTCAACTGGCTCCACACCAACAGAGGAAGTGATTTTATACAAATCATCATGTCCAACAATCATTGGTATTGGCAGGAGTCTGTTGTACTTACAAATCAGATCCAGATCCATAGATGGAGTACTTGACTTCACCCCAAAGGCCAGAGTCTGGATCATTGGCCTGGAATGCAATAAAGAGAAAGGGAGTTAGAACACTGGAACAGAACATAGAGGAGAGGAGAGGAGTTAGAATGTTGGTAGAATGCTGGAACGGAACATAGAGGAGAGGAGAGGAGTTAGAATGTTGGTAGAATGCTGGAACGGAACATAGAGGAGAGGAGAGGAGTTAGAATGTTGGTAGAATGCTGGAACGGAACATAGAGGAGAGGAGAGGAGTTAGAATGTTGGTAGAATGCTGGAACGGAACATAGAGGAGAGGAGAGGAGTTAGAATGTTGGTAGAATGCTGGAACGGAACATAGAGGAGAGGAGAGGAGTTAGAATGTTGGTAGAATGCTGGAACGGAACATAGAGGAGAGGATAGAAGTTAGAATGTTGGTAGAATGCTGGAACGGAACATAGAGGAGAGGATAGAAGTTAGAATGTTGGTAGAATGCTGGAACGGAACATAGAGGAGAGGATAGAAGTTAGAATGTTGGTAGAATGCTGGAACGGAACAGAGGAGAGGATATAAGTTAAAATGTTAGAGGAGTTAGAATGTTGGAACGGAACATAGAGGAGAGGAGTTAGAATGTTGGAACGGAACAGAGTTGGAACGAAACACAGAGGAGAGTTAGAATGTTGGAACGGAACATAGAGGAGTTAGAATGTTGGAACGGAACATAGAGGAGAGGAGTTAGAATGTTGGAACAAAACAGAGTTGGAACGAAACACAGAGGAGAGTTAGAATGTTGGAACGGAACAGAGGAGTTAGAATGTTGGAACGGAACAGAGGAGTTAGAATGTTGGAACTGAACAGAGGAGTTAGAATGTTGGAACGGAACAGAGGAGTTAGAATGTTGGAACGGAACATAGAGGAGAGGAGTTAGAATGTTGGAACAAAACAGAGTTGGAACGAAACACAGAGGAGAGTTAGAATGTTGGAACGGAACATAGAGGAGTTAGAATGTTGGAACGGAACAGAGGAGTTAGAATGTTGGAACCTATGCACATCAAGTTCATAAGCATGTCAGGGCTCTTTAAAAATAATGCCATCACACAGGAAATAAACTCCAATAGTATATAACAATATTATTCATAATAATAATAACAATTTCCACATTCATATTTATATTATTAACAACTAATTTTTTGGTTGACAATATTGTTGAGTAGGGAGTCCATTGGGACACAACTCCTGAATGAAGGTCATCCAATGACTATCCATTAGCTGATTGGAACAGTCTGAGGATAACCCACTAGGGAGGATCAGCTAAAACAGACTGAACAATGTGGGATTTCACCCCAGCAGGGGCTGTCTACTAAGCTCATATTCCCTGGGGTGAATAGCACACAGCCACACCACAGGGACAACACAGCCACACCACAGGGACACCACAGCCACACCACAGGGACACCACAGGGACAATACAGGGTAAAGGCCAATATGATTAACCCTAAAGGATTGTTTCCTCTCACCAACTCTGATTCCTGCTAAACATTTCCTACTAGTAGTGTACCAGTATAAATACTAGTAGTGTACCAGTATAAATACTAGTAGTGTACCAGTATAAATACTAGTAGTGTACCAGTATAAATACTAGTAGTATGGAAGCAGATTCATCCTACAAGAAATACAGATACATAAAATGGATATTGGAGTATTGTTTTTTTCAATATTAGTGTTGTTTTAATACTTTTATTTGCATTTCTTTTGTCATGAATCTGGTTCCATAGTTGAGTACTGTATGGAGAAAGTCCATCCTATAAGTATTACCTCTCTCCTGGCAAAATATCACATTCTGTGTAAATCTCTCAAACTGGAAATCCCCTGCTTCCTCTTAGCTTCCAATTACCAATAACCATTAATATCCATCTATCGGTGGATTATTTTGGGGAGATTACGTAATCATATTTTGGTGCCAGTGGTGTTTGAGTAGAGTTCAATAATCCAGATGTACTCACAGTGACAGACACAACGTTGGAACCTCCGGGGGAGTTCTCCGGGATACGCGTTATGTAATACTCTGAGGTGAACCTGGGAGTGTTGTCGTTGGTGTCCAAAAGATGAATCACGATATCAGCCGTCGCACTGAACCTCTCAGGGGTGTCAATCTCCACAGCCAGTAACTGTGGTTGGGGAAAAATGCATGTTAAATCCATAAAATACTCCCTGCTATTCTTGCTGTTGTGCTGTAGTAAAAATATAATTAAAGGAATGAGCATTGGTGCCTGCAATACCAGAGTTGTGGGTTGGATTCCCATTGGGGTCAAAAATACAAAATATATGGAAGCACTACTGTAAGTCACTTTGGATTTAAAAAAGTCTGCTAAATTATTATTATATTAAGTAAGTTATAGGTTATTACTGTATAATTACCATTGTAATTTCTTACTGTACAATTACCATTGTTATTTCTTAGTAAATACCTAGTAATTTCTGTACCATAAAAATTCAGAAAAACCAAATCCCTTTTTAGGATCAAATGTTTGTTATTCCAGTTTGTCATTAATGCAGCTGAAAATGGGCTGAAATACCTTGTATGTTAAGGATTTGCCTTTTTCATAGTCGATGGCAGCAGAGTCTTCAACGATGATGGTGACCTGTGCTTCATTGAGGACCGTCTGGGGCACCACTCTGAGTACACGACCAGGCCCCACCAATCTCAATTTAAATTTAGCATTCGCCCCCTGTCAGAGAAAACACACACACCTACATGAGTCTGCCATCGATGACAACATTCATGGCAAATACCAGGACCTATGACCTCTTGTTCAACAACAGTAACTTTAATCTATCGTATGGGCTGAGGGGGGGAAAAAAACTGTCAATGGATACAATTATTATGTAATGTAAAACAATGCAGTCAAGAAATGTGGGAACAATGACATACTGAGGATAATGACGGTCCTTTTAATCTAAATTAACTGTTGACATTCCTGGGATGCGTAATAGTATTATTCGCTAAATGGGGGGGGATTAAGATATTATTTCTAAAATGGGGTTACATAATGTCACATACTGTTTTTGGGGGATTAATGAAAGCATCCTTTATGAAATGTAGATTTTTAGGGCCAAACATCCCATAATATGCCAACGCCTTCAGAAATCAACCGGATTTAAAACACAAATGGATTGTAGCGCCATATTCATCGTTAGATCTATCAGTACCTTAGTATCAGTCAAGTCTTTAGAGTTTGGGCTTACACACATTTTTAGAACACAGGCTCAAGGCCTATAACGAAGCATAAGGAGTGGTTTAGGACACAAGCTCAAGGCCTATAACGAAGCATAAGGAGTGGTTTAGGACACAGGCTCAAGGCCTATAACGAAGCATAAGGAGTGGTTTAGGACACAGGCTCAAGGCCTATAACGAAGCATAAGGAGTGGTTTAGGACACAGGTTCAAGGCCTATAACGAAGCATAAGGAGTGGTTTAGGACACAGGCTCAAGGCCTATAACGAAGCATAAGGAGTGGTTTAGGACACAGGTTCAAGGCCTATAACGAAGCATAAGGAGTGGTTTAGGACACAGGCTCAAGGCCTATAACAAAGCATAAGGAGTGGTTTAGGACACATGTTCAAGGCCTATAACGAAGCATAAGGAGTGGTTTAGGACACAGGCTCAAGGCCTATAACGAAGCATAAGGAGTGGTTTAGGACACAGGCTCAAGGCCTATAACGAAGCATAAGGAGTGGTTTAGGACACATGTTCAAGGCATATAACGAAGCATAAGGAGTGGTTTAGGACACAGGTTCAAGGCCTATAACGAAGCATAAGGAGTGGTTTAGGACACATGTTCAAGGCCTATAACGAAGCATAAGGAGTGGTTTAGGACACAGGTTCAAGGCCTATAACGAAGCATAAGGAGTGGTTTAGGACACATGTTCAAGGCCTATAACGAAGCATACAGAGTGGTTTAGGACACATGTTCAAGGCCTATAACGAAGCATACGAAGTGGTTTCCATGAGAGTACAAGAGGGGAAATAGAGAAGGAATGGCTCTGGCTGTATCCCAACTGTTACCCTATTTCACTGATCAAAGGTCGTGCACTATATAGGGAATATGGTGCGATTTGGGAAACGGACTGCCTTCCAGTACCTGATCAGAGTCGTTGACCGTTATCTTCAGCCCCCTGAGGATCTCCCCCTCTGAAGGGTGCTCATGCATGGTCACCTCAAACTGGCTCTGGGGTCCGTTCTCTCCGTAGAAGGTAGGAGGGTGGTTGTTGAGGTCCACCACTCGAACAGTCACCACAGTCATGGTATAGTAGTCCAACAGCTCCTCACTAGGCCCCAGCTCAGTGGCCTGAGAGAGAGAGACAGACAGAGAGACAGAGAGACAGACAGACAGACAGACAGAGAGAGAGAGAGAGAGAGAGAGAGAGAGAGAGAGAGAGAGAGAGAGAGAGAGAGAGAGAGAGAGAGAGAGAGAGAGAGAGAGAGAGAGAGAGAGAGAGAGAGAGAGAGAGAGAGAGAGAGAGAGAGAGAGAGAGAGAGATGAGAAGAGGAGGGAGAGAGAGAGAGAGAGAGAGAGAGAGAGAGAGAGAGAGGTCAGACAATAAAACATATGCACTAAACATGTAATAACAGGATAAGAAAGGTGTTATTACCTTGACTTTGATTTCATATAATTCATTCCTCAGCGTGACTGGATAAGCTGTTAGGCTGATACAACCACTTGTGCTATTGATGGTGAAGGCACCCTCACTACCTGAAGAAGGAGAACAGGAAGGACTTCATCATAGTATGTGAATCATGACATATACAGAAATCACAAATATCTGTGAAACTGTAAACAAACACACGCTCAACTGTTGACAATGATAGGTTATTATCAGTTTGTGAAGAAATAGCTTGGTAGTGTGTGCGTGTGTGTTTATAACTTACCATTGGTAATGGAATAATGAATAGGATTAGGGTTTCCTTCATCTCCATCTTTGGCAAACACAGTGGAAATTTCAGAACCCTGCAAATACACATTATAAATCATAAAGAAATGGCTTGCAAAAGTTCCCAAAAGTTCCAAAAATGTAATCTTACAGCTTTCATAACAGGGTTATGTTTTAAAGACCAGATGATCATCACAGGCTGTGTTGTGCTTACAGGAACCGAGACCTCGTAGACATAGCCAAAGTAAGGAGTTCCAATGAAGGATGGAGGGGTGTCTTGGGCGTCGAGGACGTTGATGGTTACGGTGGCCGTAGATGTCAACACCTGGGCCTTACCTTTAAACTGTCCACCTCCATCCTGATGACAACAGAAGGGACATGTTAGACATTGGACGACGACACATGATAAATCATTTTCTGACTGATTTATTTAGTGCTAAAAACATTGTGAAACAACAGTACTGTTTGCATAAGTTAACACTCTACGTGTGAAGGATATAACGCTGCTTGCTTAGCGAGGAGTACCACCTCCTCCATCGTGCTAATGAAAAAGGCCTTCTTCAATTGTGCAAGGAGCGACACTTCAGGCTGAGGAGTTAGTGTCACAGATCCCCATCTGCTACATTTGTGAATTTCATCAGCTTTCTATTTGTGTGTGAACTTCTTAATCTTGCTCCCGTGAAAATACACTCAACCTACACTAAGGGCCTAAACAACATGCTCCTTCACACGAGACAATTAGTCAATCAACTGCCATGGTGTGGGATCAAGGGCCGAGACGTAGTGCGGCCTTAGGTAATCAGGGCTTACCCTCCCCAAGAGCTTAGAGACGGACCCAGGGATGGAGGAGAGGACCCTCCCCCTGAGGCGTAAAGACAGAGACGGAGGAGGGACCCCCAGCCCTTCACCCTCCCCTAGGGCTCAGAGAACAGGACAGAGACACAAGAAAAGCTTCCCTCCCCTAGGGCTCAGAGAAGAGGACAGAGACACAAGAAAAGCTTCCCTCCCCCAGGGCTCAGAGAAGATGACCGAGACACAGTAGAAGAAAAGCTTCCCTCCCCCAGAGAGACAGGGGCGGAATAGAGAGAGCTGACCCTCCCTCTGAGGCCCAGAGACGGGGCCAGGGCCAGAAGGGATCAGCAGCCCCAGACCAGACAGAGATTACACATTGGGATGACACATAGGGATGACACATTGGGATGACACATTGGAATGACACATTGGAATGACACATAGGGCTGACACATAGGGCTGACACATAGGGCTGACACATAGGGCTGACACATAGGGCCGACACATTGGGCTGACACATTGGGATGACACATAGGGATGACACATAGGGATGACACATAGGGATGACACATAGGGATGACACATTGCTGTTTGGGGTTTTAGACTGGGTATCTGTAAAGCACTTTGTGACAACTGCTGATGTAAAAAGGGCTTAATAAAAAATACATTTGATTAATTGATTGATGGGTTGATTGACACATAGCTAGCCGGCGTCTAACCTTGGCAACCACCGTCACAAAGTGTAATGCTGTGGTCTCAAAGTCGAGCGTCTCGCCTGGTTTGATCCGCAGGACCCCACTGTGGCCGTCGATGGTGAACTTGGTAGTAGGGGTGCCCTGTGAACAGACACAGGACCATCTTTAAACCCTTCATTATGATGATGTATACTGAGATCTAGACTTAGATCTAACTAATCGCACTCTCCATTCAATGCAGTTTTTACTTCAATGACATTTGAAATACAACCAATACCCCATCACACATCAAATCCAGACCTAAAGATGGCTACAACATTATATTTCAGCCTTTCAACTGTTTTCTACTGTTGTTCTTTCAGATGTCTAGAATCATCAGGGTGGTTTAGACTCTAGAATCATCAGGGTGGTTTAGACTCTAGAATCATCAGGGTGGTTTAGACTCTAGAATCATCAGGGTGGTTTAGACTCTAGAATCTGCTTTGTGAATCTCCCAGTCGACATATGAACGGTGCCAACTACGGTTTGCTTGCTGATGGCCAAAAGCAACCCTAAGCTTCTGCTAAGGCCTCAATACCTTGCTGAAATGTAATTGAAATGTAATCCACTAAAGTAACACAATTTCCTGCCTCCACTCCAGTGTAAAATGAATGGTTCTCTCTCCACGGATGGTTTCTGTCCTGTGTTGATTAAAGACCGTACCATTCATCTACAGTATGACAATGGATCCTCCATATACAGTCGTGGTCAAAAGTTTTGAGAATGACACAAGTATTGGTCTTCACAAAGTTTGCTGCTTCAGTGTTTTTAGATATTTTTGTCAGATGTTACTATGGTATACTGAAGTATAATTACAAGCATTCCATAAGTGTCAAAGGCTTTTATTGACAATTACATTAAGTTTATGCAAAGAGTCAATATTTGCAGTGTTGCCCCTTCTTTTTCAAGACCTCTGCAATCCGCCCTGTCATGCTGTCAATTAACTTCTGGGCCACATCCTGACTGATGGCAGCCCATTCTTGCATAATCAACGCTTGGAGTTTGTCAGAATTTGTGGGTTTTTGTTTATCCACCCGCCACTTGAGGATTGACCACAAGTTCTCAATGGGATTAAGGTCTGGGGAGTTTCCTGGCCATGGACCCAAAATGTTGATGTTTTGTTCCCCGAGCCACTTAGTTATCACTTTTGCCTTATGGCAAGGTGCTCCATCATGCTGGAAAAGGCATTGTTCGTCACCAAACTGTTATTGGATGGTTGGGAGAAGTTGCTCTCGGAGGATGTGTTGGTACCATTCTTTATTCATGGCTGTGTTCTTAGGCAAAATTGTGAGTGATCCCACTCCCTTGGCTGAGAAGCAACCCCACACATTAATGGTTTCAGGATGCTTTACTGTTGGCATGACACAGGACTGATGGTAGCGCTCACCTTGTCTTCTCCGGACAAGCTTTTTTCCAGATGCCCCAAACAATCGGAAAGGGGATTCATAAGAGAAAATTACTTTACCCCAGTCCTCAGCAGTCCAATCCCAGTACCTTTTGCAGAATATCAGTCTGTCCCTGATGTTTTTCCTGGAGAGAAGTGGCTTCCTCGCTGCCCTTCTTGACACCAGGCCATCCTCCAAAAGTCCTCGCCTCACTGTGCGTGCAGATGCACTCACACCTGCCTGCTGCCATTCCTGAGCAAGCTCTGCACTGGTGGTGCCCCGATCCCGCAGCTGAATCAACTTTAGGAGACGGTCCTGGCGCTTGCTGGACTTTCTTGGGCGCCCTGAAGCCTTCTTCACAACAATTGAACTTCTCTCCTTGAAGTTCTTGATGATCCGAAAAATGGTTGATTTAGGTGCAATCTTAATAGCAGCAATATCCTTGCCTGTGAAGCCCTTTTTGTGCAAAGCAATGATGACGGCACGTGTTTCCTTGCAGGTAACCATGGTTAACAGAGGAAGAACAATGATTTCAAGCACCACCCTCCTTTTAAAGCTTCCAGTCTGTTATTCTAACTCAATCAGCATGACAGAGTGATCTCCAGCCTTGTCCTCGTCAACACTCTCACCTGTGTTAACGAGAAAATCACTGACATGATGTCAGCTGGTCCTTTTGTGGCAGGGCTGAAATGCAGTGGAAATGTTTTTTGGGGGATTAAGTTCATTTTCATGGCAAACAGGGACTTTGCAATTAATCGCAATTCATCTGATCACTCTTCATAACATTCTGGAGTATATGCAAATTTCCATCATAAAAACCGAGGTAGCAGACTTTGTGAAAATTAATATTTGTGTCATTCTCAAAACGTTTGACCCCGACTGTAGACTGTATAACATTAGATCTAACCCTGAAACCTCAGGCAGACCAGGACTATATTCATTAGGGCACACGTAGCAAAAATATGCTAAAAATTGATATTGTTTCAGTCCATGTTCTTCTTCTTTAGTGTCCAATGAAGCAGACCCAGGGGTGTGGACGTTGTTTACCTGTACGTAGTAGGTGACACTGCCTCCAGAGCCCATGTCTTTATCCACAGCTTGCACTCTGTAAATGCTGCTTCCAGCTGCAGTGTCCTGCAGATGACAAAAACATTGATGACATTCGACATTTAAATATAACATATTGCCTGTGCACTTATCTAGTACATATCTGCTAGACTTTAATAACGGTGTCTTTACTTGCCGGCATGTCAGACAGGCCCCTGGGGTAGTGAAGCCCTATTATATCTAAAGACATGATACCAATATTGACATCTCTGTCAGTATCTTTTAACATTATCTCTAAAGACATTAAACCAATGACAGAGCTGTCTTTATGGTGATCAGGATTTAACACTGACCTCGGGGACGTCTACGGTGAAAGGCAGGTTCTGAAACTCTGGTTGCTCATCATTGACATCGGTGACAAACACCCGAATCGTCTCGACAACCTAAAGGAAGGAACAAACAGATGACATCACAACAACCTAGCTGAGAAGCCAGGTGTTATTGCGTAAGTGTATAGGCCTATACATGTGATGCATATGGATTTGCGACTAATGTTGTTGTCAAAGCTCAGCTCACCTTATTCCGACCATCTGTTATGCTAACAAGAGCTGAGATTTCACCTTGTTTCTGACAAAACAAAGAACATGTTAACAGCGCTCTAAACAGCACATCCGTTACTGGGGGTAATGATAATCTCTGGTGACAGACGGCAGATTTGGTTCTGGGTTCCTGAGATTACCAGAGATAGTGTTCTCAAGCCTCACTGCATTACACTCACCTCTCTGTCTAATTCCTGAATGAGAGTTATGTTTCCTGACTTGGGGTCCACTCTCAGGTATTCTCTGGTGCCCTTCTCAAAGGTCAGGCCAAACCTCACGGCATCCCCCTCTGGGTCAGTGCCATTTAGGGTATATACCTGTGTTCCTGTAAGGTTAGAGACAGAGATAGCACCTGCTTATGAATGTGTTATGAATGCTTATGAATGTGTTATGAATGCTTATCAATGTGTTATGAAGTCTTTATGTAGGTACTCTTCAAATAATAAAGTGTTACCGAATTTGGTTATAACATTGCCTATCAAATACATGGAACAAGATCCAAGATGGCGTAGCAGTGCAGTCATGTTCTCTGTTGTGTGTCCGTGTAAATAGCCTGTTTTTTGTATTTCCCTATCACACTTTTCATCCTTCTACTAAATATACTTTCCTGCAACCCGCCTCACTCAATGTGGAACGGATTCTATTATTGACTTACCTTTTATCTAGAATCTCCAGTTGAAACTAGCTAGCCAGCTAACTTGCTATTAGCCACCGTTAGCAGTTTTCACCCAGAACATCAGATATTCTGCCGGAATAACTGAATCACTGGACATTAACACCGGATCGCAACTAGCTAGCCGCAACCGAATGGATGTTGCTGTTGGCTAATCACCACTGCCCCCGAAGCAAACACCAGTTAGCCTTGAGCTAGCCTCGAGCCAGGCCCATATCCCGGCTATCTACCTCTCTGTCTACCGGACGGGAGTAGCCAGCTAACTAGCTACTTGCTATTAGCCACCGTTAGCGTTTTTTCACCATTGTCCGTGGCCTGCACTACCTACCAGCCAGCTCTAGCCTGGACTATTATCGGCCAGTCTGCACTGTCTGCACAGCGCGTTATCGACCCAGTACATATCGTTTTTTCTGCCGGAATCACTGAATCACTGGACCTTTAACACCGGATCATCGCAACTAGCTAGCTGCAACCAAATGGATGTTGTTGGCTAATCAGCCTTGAGCTAGCCTCGAGCCAGGCCCATCTCCCGGCTATCTACCTCTCTGTCAACCGGACGGGCCTTCCTAGTGTTGACACGGAGCCCCGCCGATCCAACACGACTGGTCTGCCGACGAAATCGTCTGATGTGGTTTCAACAGGCTTCCCATTATGACGTCGACCACGAAGATCCATCTGCTAGCCCCGGCCCGCTAGCACACGCAAGCCGTGGCCTCTTGCTTGGTAATGGGTCCGCGGTCAAACGACCACCCCTCATCACTGTCAAATGCTCCCTAAAACACTTTAGCGAGCAGGCCTTTCTAATTGACCTGGCCCGGGTATCCTGGATGGATATTGACCTCCGTCAGTAGAGAATGCCTGGTTGTTCTTTAAAAGTGCTTCCTCTCAATCTTAAATAAGCATGCCCCATTCAAAAAATTCAGAACTAAGAACAGATATAGCCCCTGGTTCTCCTCAGACTTGACTGCCCTTGACCAGCACAAAAACATCCTGTGGCGTACTGCATTAGCATCAAACAGCCCCCGCGATATGCAACTTTTCAGGGAAGTCAGGAACCAATATACACAATCAGTTAGGAAAGCAAAGGCTAGCTTTTTCAAACAGAAATTTGCATCCTGTAGCACTAACTCCAAAAAGTTTTGGGACACTGTAAAGTCCATGGAGAATAAGAGCACCTCCCAACTGCCCACTACACTGAGGCTAGGAAACACTGTCACCAACGAAAAATCTACAATAATCGAGAATTTCAACAAGCATTTTGCTATGGCTGGCCATGCTTTCCACCTGGCTACCACTACCCCAGCCACCAGCTCTGCACCCTCCGCTGCAACTTGCCCATGCCCCCCCCCCCCTCCCCCGCTTCTCCTTCACACAAATTCAGACAGCTGATGTTCTGAAAGAGCTGAAAAATCTGGACCCCTACAAATTAGCTGGGCTAGACAATCTGGACCCTTTCTTTCTAAAATTAGCCGCCGAAATTGTCGCAACCCCTATTACTAGCCTGTTCAACCTCTCTTTCGTAACGTCTGAGATCCCCAGAGATTGGAAAGCTGCCGCGGTCATCCCCCTCTTCAAAGGGGATGACACTCTAGATCCAAACTGTTACAGACCTATATCCATCCTGCCCTGCCTTTCGAAAGTATTTGAAAGTCAAGTTAACAAACAGATCACCGACCATTTCGAATCCTAACGTACCTTCTCCGCTATGCAATCCGGTTTCCGAGCTGGTCATGGGTGCACCTCAGCCACGCTCAAGGTCCTAAATGATATTATAACCGCGATCGATAAAAGACAGTACTGCGCAGCCATCTTCATCAACCTGGCCAAGGCTTTCGACTCTGTCAACCACCGCATTCTTATTGGCAGACTAAATAGCCTTGGTTTCTCTAATGACTGCCTCGCCTGGTTCACCAACTACTTCTCAGATAGAGTTCAATGTGTCAAATCGGAGGGCCTGTTGTCTGGACCTCTGGCCGTCTCTATGGGGTTGCCACAGGGTTCAATTCTCGGGCCGACTCTATTCTCTGTGTATATCAATGATGTCGCTCTTGCTGCTGGTGACGCTCGGATCCACCTCTATGCAGACGACACCATTTTGTATACATCTGGCCCTTCATTGGACACTGTTTTAACAAACCTCCAAACGAGCTTCAACGCCATACAACACTCCTTCCGTAGCCTCCAACTGCTCTTAAATACTAGTAAAACTAAATGCATGCTCTTCAACCGAACGCTGCTTGCACCCGCCCACCCGACTAGAATCACTACTCTCGGCGGGTCTGACCTAGAGTATGTGGACAACTACAAATACCTAGGTGTCTGGTTAGACTGTAAACTCTCCTTCCAGACTCACATTAAGCATCTCCAATCAAAAGTTAGATCTAGAATCGGCTTCCTATTTCGCAACAAAGCCTCCTTCACTCATGCTGTCAAACATGCCCTCGTAAAACTGACTATCCTACCGATCCTTGACTTCGGCAATGTCATTTACAAAATAGCCTCCAACACTCTACTCAGCAAATTGGATGTAGTCTATCACAGTGCCATCCGTTTTGTCACCAAAGCCCCATATACTACCCACCATTGTGACCTGTACGCTCTTGTTGGCTGGCCCTCACTACATATTCGTCGCCAAACCCACTGGCTCCAGGTCATCTATAAATTACTGCTAGGCAAATCCCCGTCTTTTCTTAGCTCACTTGTCACCATAGCAACACCCTCCTGCAGGTATATCTCACTGGTCATCCCCAAAGCCAACACCTCCTTTGGCCGCCATTCCTTCCAGTTCTCTGCTGCCAATGACTGGAACGAACTGCAAAAATACTACTACCTTGTCCCTATATTGTTATTTATTTTGCTAATTTGCACCCCAGTATCTCTATTTGCACATCATCTTTTGCACATCTATCATTCCAGTGTTAATACGAAATTGTAACTATTTTGCACTATGGCCTATTTATTGCCTTACCTCCATAACTTACTACATTTACACACACTGTATATATATTTTCTGTATGTTTTTGTTTTACCCCATATGTAACTCTGTGTTGTTGTTGTTTTTATCGCACTGCTTTGCTTTATCTTGGCCAGGTCGCAGTTGTAAATGAGAACTTGTTCTCAACTGGCTTACCTGGTTAAATAAAGGTGAAATAAATTAAATAAAACGTGAAAGGTAACCAATCTCTGCCTCCAGTTGTACAGAAGATAGTGAGGAGAGACTAGCATACAGCACCATTAACCTGATCTAGACATAGTTGTTTAGGAATAGGAATTCTGAGGTATAACTTTCCCAAAAACCTAGGTTTTCCAGAAACCCAGGAATAAGCAGGAAATCATGGGGATCCAACTGGGATTTCTGGAATTTTACTGGAGTGTTGCAACCCGTAGTATTATCTGATTGGTTTTCCTATTGCTGACAGCCACTCCTGCCCCGCTATTGTTTTCCCTGGCTAAGCCTGTTAGTGCCCGTCACCCTCCTCTGCAGGGCTTTATGGTGATAAATCTAAGGCTCAGTGTTGCTCATGTGATCACTGATCAGTCCAGCACAAGCAGACCTGGGTTCAAATACTATTTGAAATCTTTCAAATACTTTCGAGTGTTTGCTCTAGCCTGCATGGAGTGCCAGATGGGCGGGGTTTGCAGTTTTGGGACTATTCTGTTGGTCAATTAAGCTAGGCAAACTCAATGAAGCACACATCGACTATATGAAATGATTACAAATAGTATTTGAACCCAGGTCTGATAATTAGCTACTGTGTAACGCTGCCCTTGAAACACAAAATTCATCACGTTGTGATTTTCTTTTAATTTAGCCACATTATCTACATTATTTCTAAAATCACAAGACATACTGTATATTATTAATTCACAACTTCACTGACTCAACTAATTAATTAAATAATCATCTCATTTATTTAATTGTTTAAAACACTTTACCGACAGGTGTGTCTTCTGAGATACTGAAGAGAGCCATATTCCCATTGGTGCTGCTCGGTCCGTTGTCGTAGAAATAGGGTGCGTAGTCCGACATTTGCCCTGGTGGAGAAAAACAAATGAATCAAAATGTAGAGTCAAATGTGTCACTTGTAACAAGCAGCGTGTTCACAATCACAAAAAGGTAGATGACAATCTATGGATGACGAGTAAACTCTTCATACAGCACAGAAATGATAACGCATGATGTCATAATCAATTCAATACTTCTAACACCTGTGGTCCTATTTATCTGAATATTCAATTACAATTATTGTACTCACTTCCTGAAACGGCAGGAAAGCAGAGAGAGAAACAAGACAGTTCAATGTCAGAAGAGGTCAAGAAAAGTGTATTATCTTAAGGAAGGTAAAGGAACCCCCAGTGAAGTCCTAATATCAACACAAAGACCAGGACAGAGAAAATAAAGGAAACCTACCCAAAGAGGGAGGAAGAGTAACCAGGAAGACTAAGAGAAAAATAGACTCTCTCTTCTTCTTTTGGTTCTTCATCCTGATGGAGGTGGGAGAAGAAGACGGCTTGTCAGGATCATGCAGGGTGGAGATAGGGGGTAGAGACCAGGGAGAGGGAGTCCAGCTGAGGCTGAGCGGAGCGGAGCGGAGTCAGTGTCCTTCTGGAGGTGTCTACAGTACGCAAGGCGGCTCAGCTCAGTGGGAGAGACTGGAGCAGTTTCTCAGTGCAGCCTGGTCTCATAGACTATACGTAACATAGTAAATGTAAATCTGCGAAAAATTGCTATTCGTATTATATCATATGCCTTGTAATTTGTAACATATGATACGAAATGGATGATGGACATCCACAAATTAATACATACCATACGAAACATAAAATACAGTGCATTCGGAAAGTATTCATCAGACCCCTTGACTTTTTCCACATTTTGTTATGTTACAGCCTTATTCTAAAATGGATTCAAAAAACAATTCTCAGTCATCTACACACCATACCCCATAATGACAAAGCAAGAACAGGTTTAGACATTTTTGCTAATATATATATAGCTCTGCTCTGTAAAGTTGGATGGGGAGCGTTGCTGCACAGCTATTTTCAGGTTTCTCCAGAGATGTTCGATCGGGTTCAAGTCCGGACTCTGGCTGGGCCACTCAAGGACATTCAGAGTCTTGTCCGGAAGCCACTCCTGCATTGTCTTGGCTGTGTGCTAAGGGTCGTTGTCCTGTTGGAAGGTGAACCGTCGCCCCAGTCTGAGGTCCTGAGCGCTCTGGAGCAGGTTTTTAATCAAGGATCTCTGTACTTTGCTCAGTTCATCTTTCCCTCGATCCTGATTAGTCTCCAAGTCCCTGCCGCTGAAAAACATCCTCACAGCATGATGCTGCCACCACCATGCTTCCTCGTAGGGATGGTATTGGCCAGGTGATGAGCGGTGCCTGGTTTCCTCCAGATGTGACGCTTGGCATTCAGGCCAAAGAGTTCAATCTTGGTTTCATCAGACCAGAGAATCTTGTTTCTCATGGTCTGAGAGTCCTTTAGGTGCCTTTTGGCAAACTCCAAGTGGGCTGTCATGTGCCTTTTACTGAGGAGTGGCTTCCGTCTGGCCACTCTACCATAAAGGCCTGATTGGTGGAGTGCTGCAGAGATGGTTGTCCTTCTGGAAGGTTCTACCATCTCCACAGAGGAACTCTGGAGCTCTGTCAGAGTGACCATCAGGTTCTTGGTCACCTCCCTGACCGAGGCCCTTCTCCTCCGATTGCTCAGTTTGGCAGGGCGGCCAGCTCTAGGAAGAGTCTTGGTGGTTCCAAACTTCTTCCATTTAAGAATGATGGAGGCCACTGTGTTCTTGGGGACCTTCAGTGCAGCAGACAGTTTTTGGTACCCTTCCGCAGATCTGTGCCTCGACACAATCCTGTCTCGGCGCTCTACGGACAATTCCTTCGACCTCATGGCTTGGTTTTTGCTTTGACATGCATTGTCAACTGTGGGACCTTATATAGACAGGTGTGTGCCTTCCCAAATCATGTCCAATCAATTGAATTTACCACAGGTTGACTCCAATCAAGTTGTAGAAACATCTCAAGGATAATCAATGGAAACAGGATGCAACTGAGCTAAATTTCGAGTCTCATAGCAAAGGGTTTCAATACTCATGTAAATAAGGTATTTCTGTTATTTATTTTTAATACATTTGTAAACATTTCTAGAAACCTGTTTTCACTTTGCCATTATGCGGTATTGTTTGTAGATTGATGAGGATTTTTTTTTATTTAATCCATTTTAGAATAAGGCTGTAACGTAATAAAATGTGGAAAAAGTCAAGTGGTCTGAACACTTTCCGAATGCACTGTATCATATTAATTGGACTGTCCCGGATTTATGTTTACTGTGTTACGTCTACCCCTGAGTCCAGGTTGCTCAGAGCGGTATTAATCCAGTGACGAATCCTATCCTATCTTCTACTCCTGTACTTCACAGCCACAGCAGACATCTTATATAGACCTCATCTACTGCTGCTCCCACCCTCAAATATGAGACTGTTCTCCCCACAGAGAGGCTAGGAGATATCTAATGTAACAGACTGTTCTCCACAGAGAGGCTAGGATATATCTAATGTAACAGACTGTTCTCCCCACAGAGAGGCTAGGAGATATCTAATGTAACAGACTGTTCTCCACAGAGAGGCTAGGATATATCTAATATAACAGACTGTTCTCCCCACAGAGAGGCTAGGAGATATCTAATGTAACAGACTGTTCTCCCCACAGAGAGGCTAGGAGGTATCTAATGTAACAGACTATTCTCCACAGTCTAGTGTTTGTGAGGAATATGTTTAATCAACAGCCCTTAAGGGTCTTCTGTGGGCATCTGAGTGCAACTTTAAGCTTGTTTAGTCACGTGCCAGAAAGACATTTCACCTAAGCTGCTCTCTCGTGACTGACGTCATCCTTGGCATGCAACTCAAAGGGGACAATCTGCAATTGCTATATACATTTTTGGACTTAAAATGTATGATATGTTCCCATTGATTCTTGAAGAATATAACTTATACATTTCCCATGAGCTTAGTTCAACTGTCGTACCCAATCAGAACCCAAACTATAAGCTTGTTTCACTCCAATCTTCGTAAACCAAGTAAATGTAAACAAACACTATATAGCCTCGAAACATGGTTAAAATGTTAATATCATGGATGGTCAGTCCTTGCGTCCATGAATTTGAGTGGTTACATTTCTTCAGCCCCATACCTCACTTTTTACCCAAACAGACAGGCGCTTTGATATTGTTCCAACTGCTGATTGCTTCTTTAAGGCCAAGGGGCCCAAATGGCACCCTATTCCCTATTTAGTGCACTACTTTTGACCAGGGACCAGGACCAGTAGTGCACTACTTTTGACCAGCCCATAAGCAATAGGGTACTATTTGTACAGCCCACGTTAACAAAACATACAGTGCCTTCGGAACGTATTCAGACCCCTAAACTTTTTCCACATTTTGTTACGTTACAGCCTTATTCTAAAATGGATTAAATACATGTTTTTCCTCATCAATCTAAACACAATACCCCATAATGACAAAGCAAAAACAGGTTTAGAAATTTTTGCAACTTTATAAAAATAAAAAAATAAAAATACATTTACATAAGTATTCAGACCCTTTACTCAGTACTTTGATGGAGCATCTTTGGCAGCGATTACAGCCTTGAATCTTCTTGGGTATGACGCTACAAGCTTGGCACACCTGTATTTGGGGAGGTTCTCCCATTCTTCTCTGCAGATCCTCTCAAGCTCTGTCAGGTTGGATTGGGAGCGTTGCTGCACAGCTATTTTCAGGTCTCTCCAGAGATGTTTGATCGGGTTCAAGTCAAGACTCTGGCTGGGTCACTCAAGGACATTCAGAGACTTGTCCCGAAGCCACTCCTGCGTTGTCTTAGCTGTGTGCTTAGGGTCGTTGTCCTGTTGGAAGGTGAACTTTCGCCCCAGTCTGAGGTTCTGAGCGCTCTGGAGCAGGTTTTCATCAAGGATCTCTCTGTACTTTGCTCCGTTCATCTTTCCCTCGATCCTGACTAGTCTCCCAGTCCCAGCCACTGAAAAACATCCCCACAGCATGATGCTGCCACCACCATGCTTCATCGTAGGGATGGTATTGGCCAGGTGATGAGCAGTGCCTGGTTTCCTCCAGATGTGACGCTTGGCATTCAGGCCAAAGAGTTTAATCTTGGTTTCATCAGACCAGAGAATCTTTAGGTGCCTTTTGGCAAACTCCAAGCGGGCTGCCGTGTGCCTTTTACTGAGGAGTGACTTCCGTCTGGCCACTCTACCATAAAGGCCTAATTGGTGGAGTGCTGCAGAGATGATTGTCCTTCTGGAAGATTCTCCCATCTCCACAGAGGAACTCTGGAGCTCTGTCAGAGTGACCATCGTGTTCTTGGTCACCTCCCTGACCAAGGCCCTTCTCCTCCGATTGCTCAGTTTGGCTGGGTGGCCAGCTCTAGGAAGAGTCTAGGTGGTTCCAAACTTCTTCCATTTAAGAATGATGGAGGCCACTGTGTTTTGGGGACTTTCAATGCTGCAGACAGTTTTTGGTACCCTTCCCCAGATCTGTGCCTCGACACAATCCTGTCTTGGCGCTCTACAGACAATTCCTTCGACCTCATGGCTTGGTTTTTGCTCTGACATGCATTGTCAACTGTGGGACCTTATATAGACAGGTGTGTGCCTTTCCAAATCATGTCCAATCAATTGAATTTACCACAGGTGGACTCCAATCAAGTTGTAGAAACATCTCAAGGATGATCAATGGAAACAGGATGCACCTGAGCTCAATTTCGAGTCTCATAGCAAAGGGTCTGAATACTTTTGTAAATAAGGTATTTCTGTTTTTTATTTGTAAGACATTTGCTAAAATAAAATAATGTCCATTTAAGAATAAGGCTGTAACGTAGGGATCTGAATACTTTCCGAATGCACTGTATATTATATTGACAGTGCTAACTTACTTACTCAGAGGTGCAGTCATGTGCGTTTTCTCTCTTCACACGTTTAAAAATAGGACGTGACGTCTTATGACCCGCTCACACAGAGCACAGG